CTATAACAATCAAATTAAGGGGAGAGACTTAAGAAGTCTTCCTCTACTTTTTTTTTGTTCTAAAATTTTGATTTATTTAATTATATCCGTCAAATCAATACTTAATATTTGGTTCATACAAGTTGTTACCCTCTTTTTAACTAACTATTACTAATTTAAATTTCTAAAAAAATTAATTTTATTCTCTAATGACCATCTAATTCTTTGAATTTTTGGATTACCTATAATTTTATAATTTTTTGAATGGTGGGTGAAGGAAATGGAAGGGTGTTACAAATCTCATGCATGGTCTGGTCCAATTTTAGTTAACTATTTATTCATTTTACGACGAAAAAAATTTGAAAATTTGATTCTTTTAACAACCATGTTATTTGAATTTAATTTATTGATCTAATTTATTAATTCACTGTAGACCCTACCAAATATCAAAATTTTATATTAATCAAATAATGCTAGATTTTATATTATTCAAATAATGCTATATTAATCAAACATCGAAATTTCATTGCAATGAAACCGTATTATTATTTCAGCAAATAAGGCTAGATTTTTAGGTATAAATTAGCCCTGACAATCATGTTGAGTAGAGCGATTTTGTGTTGGGTGGAACGAGTTTGTGTCAAAAAACCTTCTATCCATACTCTATTTGTTTATATAAACGAATCCGATTATCACACTCATACACATATCGTTTATTAGATGAGTTATTCGATATAACCTGTGTGTCACCCGCTAAATAAGATAATATGTTAGAGTATTTTGAATGCACACAAAAAATTATAAACTTGCCACACATGTTTGACATGTTTACTATAACAATAAATCATGGTTGAGCAAAAAAATAAAAACAAAAAATAAACATTAAATGACTACTAAATTTGAACGAGTCTGAAAGATGAGAGGTGTGAGATGAGGCAGAGGCTCATAAACTTAACTTTTTTTTAAAATTATTTATTATACCACTGTTAATGGGTTAAATAGGTTGAAACAAGTTTAAAGGTTAAACACCAAACAACTTTGTTTATTTTGCAGGTCTACCAATTTAACCTTTTAAGACTACACACAAACCCTCTAAATTTGTGTTAGATTTGTGTCAATTTTACGAATCATGTCTAGAATTACTAGGCTTAATATATATATACTAGTTATTACCCGTGTCTGATGACACTATACAATAAACAAAAAAATCTTAAATAATTGTCCAAATTTAATAAGAATGACATAAAAATATTTGTACTAATTTTTTTTTAAAAATGACTCGAATATATCGTCGGTCATATCCTCTATATTAATGGAACTGTCACAAAAATATATAAAAAAATTCCAAAATAACACCACATATATAAATGCCCCTGAAAAAAAAAAATAATAACATAACCCGTTGAAATTTATAATTTTTAACCGATAAATAAAATCTGATTCATTTATAATATTCATGAATTTATCACTTCTACTACCACTCAATCCAATAACAAAAAATAATTATAAACTCAACCAACATATTTTCAATCTATCATATTCCCATGTAATAAATACCTCAAGCAAAAAAAAAAAAAAAACTAACAGAATACAATTAAATTCACAATCTTAAAACGATAAATAAAATCAACCAAATCATGCTCATGAATTTATTACCATTATTACCATTTAACTCCAAAATGACATAATATAATTAGAAATTTAATCACCAAATTTTTAAACCTCCACAGATAAATATATACAGAAACACACACACACACATTTTTTTTGGTTATCAACAAACTCTCCTAACCAATAACTGTTTTTATTAGAAATACAATAATTTAAGTTTATAAAATAAAATAATATTTAATTAATATTTAATTAAAAAATAGGGTAAAAATTACAAACATAGCCTAAGTTTTGGTTATATTACACAGACACCTCCTGATATTTTATAAATAACACGGAGACCCCTAATGTTTAAAATACATTGCACAGAGACCCCTCTGTCTCCTTACTATCAATGTTGTTAACGAAAATTGATAATTTTTTCTCAAAAAATTTTATTATTTTTACAATTGCCTTTCTCCATATTCAATACCAAAAAAAATTTAAAATTTTAATAAAATCAAATAAAATTTGATTTAGTACCCAAAAAATTGATATAATTTAGTACTCCAAAAAATTAATTTGATATTAATTCAACAAAGTTGAGTATAATTTAAACAAAATTAAATGTCATTTTTTGATATAATTATATATAAATTTACAATCTAAGGTTCATTTCGTGTTGAATATTATTTAGTGTTTATAGTCAATGTGTTATTTTTTTATTTACATTAAGTGTTATTTACAAATTAAGAAGCAAGTGGTAAAATACATGCTGTCAGTATATAAAAAAATTAATTAGTTTCATAGAATAAATAATTACATAATATGCAATTTCATTTATTTTATGGAATAAATAATAACAAAAATAACAAAGAGGAAAAAAAAAGAAGAAAATTGTATGAGAGAGTGAAAGAGAGAGAGAGTTATATGAGAGATGAGAGTCTTAGAGTTGTAAAAGAAATAAAAGTCAAATTAGGACCATGAGATCAAAACGATCTGAGTCACAAAAAGTTCAAGACAAACAATCTAGCTATTTTATTATATATATAATATTACTTTATTTTTTAACTATAATAGATTCTTGAGGTTCTCCGGAGTCCCGAAGACCTGTGGCCGGACCCTCTATCCCAAAAGTCCATGGTCTCTGCTGCATTAACAAAATGTAGCCCATTGATCAGTCCACAATCCGACAATTTAGTCTAACTGGTAAATCTAAACTTAGCCCACTGATCAGTCCACAGACCGCAATCTGACTTTTTAGGTTTTGTTTGTTGGAGGAAGGGATTCAAAAGGTAATTCTACATAACTGCATTAAAAAATATGTTCACTCTCACATTCTACACCAACATCCATATAAGGTTGGAAATAATACATTCTTTTGTCGTTGGGGGGCATGGACTTTTGAAATCAATAGAATTCCCTCCTCCACAGCCCATGGGAGATCCAAAGTGAACCTTTGATATAGTTAGTAATAAGTAAAGAAAGGCTCAAGAAAGTAAAACTTTAAAGGAAGTGCCATCAATTTGTCAGTTTAGATCTATGTAACTAATATTGCTTATATTTTAATGTATACATAAAAGTCCTTTTTAGACCATTATTTCAATTGTGTATTTATCTTTTATTTATTATTAGATAGGCAACCATCCTACTACCTTGACACTCTTGTCCCTGTATTTCTCTCTACTCCATGTTGACAGTCGGGGATTTTTTTATCAATCTAGTTGTATTTTTTGTCGGTCGGAGACAAACTTGATGATACTCTTGCAAACAAAAATTTAACCAAAGTAAATGGCAAAATAATAAATAATAATTCTAGAAACTGACTCAAAAAAAAAATGATAGTGATAAGGAAGTTACTGAAATAAAATGTTCATGTAAACTCTCTTTAGGTTGGAGAGGAGAGAGACAATTCATAAATTTTTTACTTCACTATACACTTGATTGATTGGTTCAGTGAAAATGAGAGATATGGAAGTAGAGATAGAGATATATGGATAGAAAATAGATAAGAAATTGACCCTAAACAACCACTTATGTTTATATTTCAAAAATTGATGATAGACTGCTTAAAAGTTTGAAAAAAGGATTAGAAGATATAGAAAGATAAAAGAGTGAGAGATGATTAAGAGGGAGAAATTGATTATAGACTACTTAAAAATTTGAAAAAAAAAAAAAGATTAGAAGATATGGAAGTTACAAAAAGATATAAGACTGAGACACGGGTAAGAGGAAAAAATTGATAATAGATTACTTAAAATTTTGAGAAAAGGATTAGAAGATGTGGAAGTTACAGAAAGATAAAAGATTAAGGGACAGATAAGAGGAAAATACGAGAAATACCAATTAGGTGAAACCACGTTAGTTTTTAATAATTTTAAAAATGAAAAATCTGGAAAATTAGGATAAGTTGAATGGAGGCTTCTCCACATTTGTAAATACATTACTATATGGTATAGAGATGTCAATCGAGACAGGACTCTTGTTTTTTATGATTTAAGTTTACATAGAATTAGACCCAAACAATAATTTATTAAGATTTAAAGAGTTATCTTCTTTTAAATTTGAATCTCGCAAGAAAATACCGAATCAATGAAATTATATCGTGGGAAACTAAAAAATTATCATGGTATAATACATAGAATATGATACGAGTTTATTAAAATATTTTTTTTGGATAAACGTTATGGTAACTGAGCATAACTGTTTCTTAAAGATTAAACAAAAAACATTGGTGGAAGAAGGGATTCAAGTGGCCGGTAATTAGTCAAATTATACTATATAAGCAATTTCATGTCAAATTTACTCAATCATACTAGATGTATTTATAATGTAATCCATATCTGTTTAAATTGAGTCCATATCGGCTCATTTATTTAACAAGTTGGTTTGTTTCTAAACTAAACTCTCTAAGGATAAATTTAATTCAATCAAATTCTATATTGCAGTAATTGAGGCAGATTGCAACTGAACTTAAAGTAAATTGGTCCAAAGACCAATAAATTAGTCTCTTAATTGTCCACAAAATCAGAAACCAACTTGAAGGAAATAATCAACAATTTCAAACATTAATATAGAAAAAACACTAAAATTCACTTTTAAAAAAAAAAACCAAAAGATCTAGATCACAGTCTAATTGAGAGATGAAGCTTCGGTTAGAACAGTGATTCTTGATCATAAGAACAATTACAATGTGATAGCAATCACCATTAATTTCTATATAGAAGATTAATCATCCATTGGGTTTAATGGCTTTGAAACAAAGATAAATAAAGAAGAAATCTCCACCAAGATCAAACAATCATATAACAAAAATGGATCTTTATTCATAATAAAGAAACTCCTCTTTCTTCTTTCTTATAAAAAAAAAAAAACTAAACTACCCACTTATTCTAAACTAAGCACTAATAATTCATTATAACAGGATGTTATCATCCTGATTCAGATTTACACTGATCAGTGATGATTGTGACATCTGCATCATGGGCACAATCACCAGTGATTTGTAAAGCTTCACTGCAACAATCGGGGGCAAATTCGTATACGTAATGTTTAACTCCATCGGTGCCGGACTTAAAGTGGTACGAAAAATAACTACTCTTATACATACACTTTCGAACGATTGGGGAACATTGGGCACTACCATTGTTACCAAGAAAACCTTTTGTACTGTTGCCGTCATTGTGGTTGTTACCGCCGTCGTGGTCGTTACCGCCGCTGTGGTTACCGCCTTTAGGATTGCACGATTCGATTATGGTGCGGACACTTTTATCACTCGAACAATCGTCGGTGACTTGCGAAACAGTGTTGCAACACTCGGGGCTAAATTGGATTTGGTATTTAGGTTTTCCATCAGGGCCAGGGGAGTAGTGGTAGGCATAACCCAAAGAACGACACCGTTCAACAATTGAGGAACATTTGCCACTACCGGTACCGATCGGGTCGTCGCTATTGTGGTCGCTGTTATTACCTGTGCATGCTTTGGTAATGATTTGGAAAAGTTCATTACGGGCACAATCGTTGCCAATCCGTGAAGCTGCCTTGCAACAATCATCACTAAATTTGAAAGTAAATTGAATAGGTCCTTTGCCAGTTTGATGCCAGTTAAACATAGCATTATCGGAATTAAAACAACTGTCACTAAGTTGAGAACATTCATTACCATAAGCACGATTGTTGCCGCCACTATATCCTGAATAGCAACACGATGGACAGTAACAACTTTGGCGATTTCCACAGCAGCTGTTTGGTGAGACATTGGAATTTGGTTGTTTTGCATCGAGTGTTTTGCGTCGGGGTGCAATTGACATGGCATCGGCTAGGCGATGACCAACCAACAAACAAATGCAAAAGAAGAACAAAATGAGGAAGCTTGTCTTCATGACGAATACCCCTAATGCTTTGTTTTTTTTTTCTCCTCTCTCTTTCTAAAAAAAAAAAAGGGACCGATGAATTATGAAAGTCTAGTACGCTATATATAGTAGGATGATGTGGGTTCAGATAGGTGAAAATCACTGATTTTTTGCTTTTATAATTATCTACTAGATTCTATTTGAGTTATAATAGATTTAGAAGTCTTTCTCCTTTTGATCACTTATCTAAAGAGATAGAAATGAAAATTAAGAGTTTAAAATATCCTAAAATCGCAACCTATTAAACTATAGGAATTCCTTTCACTTTCTACTATATATATCTTACTGATCGATCGAGCGATTTTTCTTATAAACATCTTGCCATAATCTATCTATCTATCTACAAAGGTGAGGGGGCTTGAAAAATATTCATTCTCTAATATTTAATTTCAAATATAAAAACATTTTTTTAAAAAAATAAAGAGGAAATCATAAAGCCAATTCAAATCAATTTTATACTTGAGCAGATCTCTATTGTATTTGGATTTGTTAGACATGAAAAAAAAAATTATAACTTGGATAGTACTTGGATTAAGTTCTTTAATTTTCTATGCCTAATTTGAGTTTGTAATCTCATGGTTAATTCGAAGTTAAATTGTACTTCTATTCAAGTTGTATATGTTGAGAATAAAACTTAAATTTAAATAATTCAACCCAAATTAAAACCCAAAAATGGAATTCAAATTGAGACCCAAGTTATGTAATTCGAAAGTAGAAGACTAGAGTGGATATATTATAAGTTAGGTCTTGAAATCTGAATTAAATCAATCCAATATTAGACTGAGACCAACTGCCAATGCCACCCATTAAAACAAAAGTAATGCTATTGGAATATAATTTATTGACCTAATTCATTGTAACATTTAGATTGACTGTAAGCGCACAAAATCAATCAAAATACAAAAGAAAGCAAGAAAGAAAATGAAGAAACAATGAAAATGATGAAGCAAACGGCTCTTAGTATATGCATTCAATAGCTTCTTGAATCCAAGAAGAATTTTTTGACATTACAACATAAGACCAAGAATATTTTTAAATACTCCATCCGTTCCTAAATATCTGTCGTTTAAGATTTTTGCATAGAGATTAAAGAAGTTATTAAATAGCTCTAATATGAGTAAAAAATAATTACATAACACTAAAATACCCTTATTCAATACGTATTGAGAAAGAAAGGAATATGAAAGGCACTTAGCCTGCAGTTAATCTATTAAGCACTTATTGAAAAATAGAGATAAGGGCAAATTTGAAAAAAAAATATTTATTATGCTTTGGTTTTATAAAATGACAGATATTATGGAATAAAAAAAATTGTGTAAAATGACAGATATTTATGAACGGAGAGAGTGTATTATACTAATTTAAAACTATTCCACCACCACATGAATTCAAAAAATCTCGTAACAAAAGCAATTATACTCATAATATAATAAGAATTCCTAAAACACTAACACCAATTCAATCAAACCCAAACTAATTCCAGTTCCAATTCCAAAAATTGTCGTGAGATAAACAGAGCATTTGTGTAGTGGCCATACCCAAACAAATGGAAAACAAAGAAAAAAAAACACCATACCGACAATAGGCGAATTATAAGAAATTCACCAGTATCTAATGTAGCTTCTAATATAGGTTATTTTCCCTTAGACCTACTCATATTCATAGATCTTTCGAAGGAAGTGGTAGAAGGATGGGTTACCCTATAATGGTGAAGAGGTACTTGACCTTGATCTATCAAAACTCTTGATTGAAGAACTTTTGGATAAGCCTTCAATATTTAATTTGGAGATTCGATCTAAACAAATTGAATTTGTACATTCCCTTGTGGGGTTTGAGAGATTTGATTTAATTCTCTATTAATTATAGGTTGAAGAGGAACCATAGACTGTAAATTCTATTTTTTTCCAAAAAAGTGATTTATTTCCATTGAATAGCTTGATTTTGAGCAATTCTATTTTTTAAATAATTTGTCTCGATTAGAGTTGTAGTACCATGTTTATTTTGATACTTAAATTTTGGGGTTAAGATATTCATTACTTTATGATGAATTCTGTAAGCTATATTGACTGGTTTAGTGCCATCCATATAGTTATAACGAAAAGTTTGGATGTTTAAAGTTAAAACTTACATTATATTTCTATCAGTTAAATATACTGATAAATTTGAAAAACAATTAAAATAAACGGGATCAGTACTAAGACTAAACTCCATTACTCCCATTAGAGGTTGTTGAAAATCAGGATTCTAGCATCTTTGAATGCTAAAATAAAACTTGTATTGGTTCCTAATAGGGTTAGAAGTTTTAATGGAATAAATTGAATGGCGACTCTTGAAATCGAAGGAAATAATTTTTGTAATGAACCTGGATTAAGTTCTATTATGAGTGTTCAATACCAAGTTGAGGAATTTTTGGAACAAAACATTTTCAAGTTATTGTAAATTGGTTGCAATTTTGTCACATAGATATTGCCCCAACCAATCATTCCTAAACTAGTGATAGCCAATATAATGCACCCGTCTCTTTCCAATTTTTAAATCGTAAGTGTTATTCACGCCTTAGCCAATTTTGCATATGAGCATACCACCCTCTTTGTAAGTAAATGCACGTAAAAATTATTTTTTTCACTACAGATTTTTGAACGTCCAAGTCATTGGGCTTGATGGAAAATATTTAGCGTTTAGGTCTCTAGGGGACTTCAATATTCACATAACATCTAACATGTTCAAGTAAAATTATCGATGGACCTTTGGTCTAATGGTACTCCTTATCTTGTGAAAATTTAGTCTTCTTGAGGTGAAGGGTTCAAGTCTCTCTCCCCCTCTCCCCTCCTCCTCCACCCCCAAAAAAAAGTAAAATTGATGAAAAATGTCTAGATTTTAGGTCTCTATGGGACTTCAATCTTGAGAGAACATCTAAAATGTTGAAGTAAAATTGGGGAATGGGTGTCAAATTCCAAGTTAATTTTTACCAATTTATAATACAAGTTATTGCCTACAAGAGTGGAGAAGTGGGATAGGGAGAGTCTAAATGAGTTGTTAAAGTCTAGGTGTTGGGTTTTGATTGCATGAATAATTGCCTTTTGATTTAATAAAATCAAAATTCTTAAAATTAAATATTAGAGATGGAAGACTTCTCAAACTCACTCATATCTAATTTGTAGATAGATAGATTGTGACAAAAATGATTATAAAAAAAAAAAAAAAAATCGCTCCAATCAGTAAGATATATAATCAAAAATAAAAAAAAATTCCTATTTTTTTGAAATCATGATAAAATTTATTAGCATAAAAAATGTAAATGACACTTGATATTTTTTATCCATTTGAAGTGAGTTTATTAGGTTGTGATTTTAGGATTTTTTTAACTCTTAATTTTTATTTTTATCTCTTTATATTTCTCAGATAAGTGAGAAAAAAAAAAAAGACTTGTAAATCTATTATAACTCAAATAGAATCTAGTAGACAATTATAAAGGCAAAATATCACTGATTTTCACCTATCTAAACCCACCCCATCCTCCTATATATATATATATATATATATATATATATATAGCGTATCAGACCTTCATTATTCATCATTGTTTTTTAGAGAGAGGAAGAAAAAATAAATAAATAAATAAAGCACTAGGCGTATTAGTCATGAAGACAAGCTTCCTCATTTTGTTCTTCTTTTGCATTTGTTTGTTGGTTGGTCATGGCCAAGTCGATGCCATATCAATTGCACCCCGACGAAAAACACTCGGTGCAAAACAACCAAATTTCAATGTATCACCAAACAGCTGTGGTGGCGGTGGCGGTGGCGGTAACCAATGTTCTCAACTTGCTCAAAGGTGCTTTAATGCCGGTAACATTTTCTTTCATTGGCGTGCAGTCGAGAATGGACCTGTTCAATTTACTTTCACATTTGCTGATGATTGTTGCAAGGCAGCTTCACAAATTGGCAATTATTGTGCCCGTGATGGATTTTACAAAATAATTACCAAAGCATGCACAGGTAATAACGGTGGTGGTAACGACCACAGTGGCCATACCAACCACAACGGCAACGGCAACGGCAACCCCGGAAACAACCGTCCAAAAGGTTTTCTTGGTACCAATGGTAGTCCCCAATGTTCCCCAATCGTTCAAAAGTGTATGTATGGGAGTAGTCATTTTTCGTTCAGCTTTCATTCCGGCTCCGATGGAGTTCCACATTACGTATACGATTTTGCCCCCGATTGTTGCAGTCCAGCTTTACAAATCACTGGTGATTGTGCCCAAGATGCAGATGTCACTATCATCACCGGAACGTGCAGAGGATGATAACATCCTGTTATAATGAATGATTAGTGCTTAGTTTAGGTTTTTCGGTGAATAAATAATTGGGTAGTTTAGTTTTTTTTTCTTCAGTTTATGGTGGCAGAAAGTATTTTAAGTACTAGTTTGAAATTGTTGATTATTTCCTTCTAGTTTGTTTCTGATTTTGTGGACAATTAAGAGACTAATTTTCCTGGTCTTTGGACCAATTGTTACCATATGAACCCGACCGATATTTACACATTCATTTTTAAATTATATGCATTGATTGATTTAAGATTCTATTGCGGTGCGGGATTTAAATATAAATTCTTAAGAAAAGTTTGGAGAAATATCCGAATCATCCTACATAACACACTCGGATGTCCTCCTAACTCACTCAAAATTTATGACACCCGATTATAACAATCAAAACTTTACTAACCAAACATGGAGTTATAGTTCATCTAAAACGGCGGTTATTTCTGTACTTATCCCCAAAAGTAGTTCATGAGTGCAATTGCAATAGGTCTTAATTACTGCAATATAGAATTTGATGAGGAGGTTAAACTTATCCTTAGAGAGTTTAGCAACTTTGTTAAATAAATGAGCCGATATGGACTCAATTAAGCCTGCTTGAATCTCTTACTCCACCAATGTTTCTTTGTTTACTCTTTAAGAAACGGCTATACTCAATGACCATAATGTTTGTCCAGAGAAAAATATTTTAATAAACTCGTATCTTGTGTTATTAAAACAACGTAACCCATTAAATCCACTTTGTATTATATATATAATTGATTGGTGATACTAAATGACATTAATAACGTTGTGTCACTATTACAATTTACGCCCAATATTTTCTCTTGGTAGCCTATGGCACTTTCTTGGCTCAATTAGTTGGTAATTTGTTTTCGGAAAAATGAGTTAGTATAGATATAAAACAACGGAATTCATTAAGAGTAGAAAATGCACAAGAAAATAGGTGGTTATTGGTGAAGGATACGTAAAAATAAATAATAAAAATAAAAATAAAATAAAATTGGTGAAGGATACGTGTGATGTGATAGTTATAAGGGACGGTGATAGAATATGATGAGAAAGAATAATATATTTTAAACTTGATAATTTTATACTATTTTTAAACTTTATTACTGTGATGTATTGTTGAAGCCTTTATGATCTTAAGAGCCCGGATTAAGTTGAGCTATATATATAAAATCAGTGACTCTCAAACATGTAATTTTTTTTATTTTTTTTGGTTGGGTATGACGCTTGAAATTATTTTTATTTTTATTTTTTTTAATAATACGTAAAAACTATATTACATCCTTATATGCAAAGAAATAAAGGCTGAAATTTTAATTTAAAGCGGTGCAAGTTAAGATTAGTCTTTTTTATTTTAGATGTTAATATTGAATATTACTATTTTTTAAAATGTTATATTGAATGTGACTATTTTTTTAATTTATTTTTTCAAAAGTTTAATATTGAATGTTACTGTTTTTCAGAATGTTAATATTGAATGTTATTGTTTTTTGTTTTAAATCTTACTATTTTTTGTTTTATTGTTTGAAATGTTAATAAATTCGATTTTACTATTTTTTGTTTTGTATAACATATTGAATGTTACTATTTTTTGAAATATTAATATTGAATACTACTTTTTTTTTGTTTTAAATGTTACTATTTTTTATTTTATTTTCCAAAATGTTAATATTCAATATTACTATTTTTTGTTTTGAAATGTTAATAATTAATGTTACTAGTTTTTGTGTTTAAATGTTATTATTTTTCTCATATATATATAAATAGATATGAGAGAGAGAGAATTTTAATGTTAGTAAAACTCCTAAAATTTATGAATTTTTAATTTTCAAATTTGTTTTAATTAAATATAACTATTTGGGGTATTTTAGATAGTAGAGATCAAAATGATTTTATTCTCAAATAAAGTTTTTGAGTGAACTAAAGTCCAAATAAGTCTTGAAAAATAGATCGGCCCCCAATTTAATAATTTATTAATCAAGATTTTTGGGCGAGCCGAGTTGGCCTATGAGTTTAATTTTGTTACTTTTCTTAATTTAGGTAACTATATTTGAAAATTTCAAAACAAATGGATAAAAATTAAAATAAAATGTTAATTGTAAATACAGAATGAACTGCATACCCAACTATATATAACTTACATAACTCTATTTTAATCAGACAATTCGTTAAGTTTTTTGACAAAAATGGTCATATGTCATTCTCTCAGACGGTATTATGTGTCTAACATGTGATCATTTCGTCAAAAATTTAACAGTTTGTCTATGTATGGATCATTTAAACACAAATTGAATAATTTAGGGACTAAATTGATAAAATTAATATTTTAGAAACCAAACTGATAAAACATGCATACTTTAAGGACCAAAAACGTTATTAATCGTATTAAGTATTATTTACACATCTAATATATTATAAACTTATTATTTTTTTGTCAAAGAAATTTATTAAAAGTCAAATAAGTATAGGAAATAAAAATTGAATAGAAGTAATATAGAATTTAGAAGTCAAATTCTGTTAATAAAAGCGTTAAAAATAACTTAAAGATCAAATAAGTATAGGAAATATAAATTAGAAGAAACTAATATGCGGGTATCATTGATTTCACAATAAAAATTAGGGATAAAATATAAAATTAAAAAATTTTCACAGATGCTGAGTATTATTTGCACATCTAATATATGATAAATTTATTATATTTTTTGTCAAAGAAATTTATCAAATAGCAATAGTATTGTTTGTATTGCAATAATATGATATTGTATATGGTATAAAATATATATTGAACTTTATTTCTTTATATAAATATAGACATAGATATAGAAAACTATATGCAAGTGTACTACTAATAAATAATTCAAAAGAATTTTAAAATCATATACAACTAATAAAAGAGCCTAAAAGAACTTAAAAGTCAAATAAATATAGAAAATAAAAATTGAATAAAAGTAATATATAATTTAGAAGTCAAATCCTGTTAATAAAAGAGTTAAAAAGAACTTAAAAGTCACATAGGTATAGGAAATATAAATTAGGTGAAACTAATATATGAGTATCATTGACATTATAATAAAAATAGCGATAAAATAGAAAATCAAATTTTTTTCCCAAATATCGATATTTATAAGTAATAGATAGATATAGACGTAGATATAAAAAGAAAAAGCTTTCTAAAGAATAAGAATTCCTTTCACATTCTACTCTATGTCTTTCCGATCACGACGCTAGATAGATATAGATAGGTTTTGAAATCTTATTAGATGTAACAGAGAGAGAGAGAGAGAGAGAGAGAGAGAGAGAGTATGCCCATTTGCAGCATTGGTTAAAGCATGAATAACACTTACGATTTAAAAATTAGAAAGAGACGGGTACATCTCGTGCATTGCACTGGTCATCACTACTTTAGGAAATCAGCCCTCTACATTGAAACAAATTCCCCTTTCGGAACATACCAATCACAATATTGGTCGTGGCAATATCTATATGACAAAATTGCAACCAATTTACAATAACTTGAGAAAGTTTTGTACTAAAATTCCTCAACTTGGTAATGAACACTCATAACAGAACTTAATCCAGGTTCATTACAAAGATTATTTCCTTCGATTTCATGAGTCGCCGTTCAATTTATACAATATGAATACAGAAGTATTAAAAAAGAATCGAGTCAGGGAAACAGCCTAGATTCTAAAAATTGTAGAGGAACATCTCATCTGAAATACCCAGATAAAGTTTGTCATGAATTATCTTTTTCAGGAGTAACCTTTCTCCTCCTGCCACTCCTCTTCACAGGAACTACAGCAGTACCTCCAGCTTCACTCTTCTGCTGCGGATGATCATTGACATGAGGTCTTGGCGATTTTATTTGACTCCTTAGTCGCAAAATTTCACCCTTTGCAGATGCCATTTCCTCTTCTAGTTTCTTTGCCCTCTTCTCCAAACTTTCCCTCTCCTTGCCAAGTCGCATCACTAGGTTATGGGCATCTTCCATGTTTTCTCGGGCTTCTTGAGAAACTTGTTTTTGCTCAGCAAGAGACCTGTGTAGCACATCTTTCTCATCTTCAATGCTAGAAATCCGAGAATTGGCAAGTTCTAACTCTTTAGAAAGTATCGATGCATTTTGATTCATCTCATCGAGTGATTTGGTAGCCTCTTCCAAATCTGTTTCAAGAGATTTTTGTGCCTCCTTATCTTTCAACATTTGAGTCTCCAAAGCTTTTAACTCTTTGTTTAAAGAAGTGACAATCTTCTTCTCCTGTTTTAGGTCATGGGCTGCATTTTCTGCTTTCTTATAGATATCAACTAATTCCTTCTGTAGGCTATCACGATCTTTCGCCGCCGCCTCTACTAGTTCATGGGACATGACTTGCAGCTCTTCATTCGTTTTCTTCAAAACCTCCTTTGTTGACGTGAGGTCACCAGCTAACACTTCTGCACTTCGTCTTGCCTCATCAAAGTTCTTCTGTAATGCCTCCCTAGCTTCAGAATACTCGGCCCGAACTTTGAAAATCTCAGCCTCAAGCTCTGAGCACAAACTTCTAGACTGCTGTAGTTGTTTCCCAAGATCAGAAGCCACATTTCTTGATTCGTCCAGAGTTTCTTGCGTAATTTGGAGCTCCTGCTCAAGATTCTTCGCATTTTTTAATTCTATACCCAGCATTTCCCTCAAGTCATCCCTTTCTTGGGTCAAATTATCAACCAAGACTTCGTTTCTGCTCACTTTATCTAAAGCAAGCTCAAGTTGTTCTTTAAGCTGGTCAAGTTTATGTTCTCTTTCTCCCAAGAGCTTAGCGTCAGAAGCCGCCTTTTTTTCTGAACAGAACTTGAAATCACTGTATTCTTTTTGAATGTCAACAACTTTTTTGTTGACATCCTCTTTCTCAACAAGCAGAGAACTTACTTGCGCATTTAAATCATTCACCACAGAATTCTTCGACCCTAATTCCTTTTCTTTTTCCAGCAGTTCATCTTTCAGTACTTTGACCTCTTTATTCAGACATGCTAATTCACCCTGGGCCTGCTCATAGATAGATGTCAAGTTCTTATACTCTGCTTCTTTAGCAGCAACTGTAGAGCTGAGATTACTAAGATTTTCCTCTTTATCTTTAACCTCTAAACTGAGCAAGTTTGTTCTTCCTTCCAAGTCTTCAATTGAGTTGAGCTTCTCCTTCAGATTTTCTTCAAGTTCCTTTTTATCTTTGCCAGCCTTAGTGAGGTTGGTTTGAAGACCATCTATCAGGACTTTCAGTTCTGCCACTGATCTCTTCTCTTTCTGCAGCTCTTGTCCAAGGCCTACTATTGTGCTGCTTGCCGCTTTTAATAGGTCCGTTAAAGACTGCTGCTCTTCATTTGCCTTTTTGAGCTGCTTGTTTCGTTCTTCTTTTTCATTCAGCAACTTTGACTCAAAGTTCTTCTCCAGTATATCAATGTCAGCTTCCTTTTCCTTCACTTTGTTTTTCAACTGTGCAACCAAGCAGTTGAAAATCAACTGGTTGAAATAGGCAGACAAACATATTCTGGTAACAAAGAATAGCAGAACACATTGAGCATTTGACCATTCAACAACAAATCAATTGACAGGTTCACTTCCTGTATGAACTCATTTGGTTTTTATTTGCTATCAATAAATTCATATGAAACAGTGAGTAATCCAGGCTACTGTAGAAACCAAATTTTCTTATAACCTTGGAGAGGAAAGTACAATGTAGATATCAGCATATGTGAAACAGTGAGTAAATCATGTTTCCTCTGGAACTCAAGTTTTTTCGATCAATATTGGAAGGATTTATTCGGAAACCGATTGGGAAAACAGCATTCAATACTCCTATGTTCTTCGAATGGGCAAAAAACTACTCTCAGGAGAAATTTCAACTTCATTCATATACAGGCAAAATGCCTCTCATCAGCAGGAAATTTCTGGTGGTAATCATAGATTTATTTCATCCAAGCAAAATCAAACCTTATATATCTGTTTCCAAAGAAAAAATGCCAGTTATAGGATTTCTAAAGAATGCATATTGAAAACATTAGGATTCAAAACTATTAATGGTTAGGAAAATGGATAAACAATGCCTTACAGATTCAATCTTTGCTTCAGTAGCACCCTTTTCCTTCTGAGCCAATGCATACAGAGCACCAAGCACACCTGAACTAAATACTCCCAGTCCATTCAGAAGAAGAAAGGGATTTGGTGTTGCGTCTCGTTGAAGGGTTCTCTGACCAGAGGAAAAAATTACTAAATTTATTTCCAAGCATTTCAAATAGACAACATATATACAAACATTGCATAACAAAGCCCATCACTTCCTACTCTTTCCTATATAAAATTTGCAAAAATTCAGACCTTTGCCTTTTCTTTCTGGTCTTGTGTCCTTATTTCCGAACCTTCTGAAATGAAATGGAAAAAAATATCAGACATTGTTCAAATTTTCAAAAAGGATCTGTAGAAACATAAACACACATTCTTCTGGCATGTAATGTAATCATAATCATGTGAGCCAATTGAGGGGAAGAGGCAAAGATCATTTAACTTAGGGAAGAGTCAATGGCCTAACAATGTATCTTTCTATGTTGAAGAAAAGGGGAAAAAAACAGTGTCCCTGAATTTCCAAACATTGTGTTCATTCAGGTTACTCATCGCTTTGTTCTGAAAATAATGTGGCAGTGCTTGAATTGGAACAAGGCTTTCTCGGTCTCTCCAGTTGAGTTGTATGCTTGTGAGATGCTTGGCGGTTAGAATGTGGATCAACAACATTTTATCACAGGACATGAAATACTTGGTAGATATTAGATAAGCCAAACTGAAACAAAAAGCACCAAAATGGCGCAACCCAAGAACATGAATAGTCCTGACCCAACAAAAAAAAAGTACATGAATAGTATCCAATGATCAAAATGAAGAAGCAATGACCAACTCAGACCCTCTAAACAATCCACAAATACATCAAAGGGGGGCTTTTTACAATTGAAGGACTTTTAATAACTGAAATAAACTATGTTAAACTCTACCAAGCTCCCTTTTTATAATATAGGGAAGCTCGAAGAGCTTTCTTCACTTAGTAAGATTGCTCGAGTACATTAACATTCTATTGATATCATATCGATCAAGCTTTTCTTAGTTTGGTTGCACCTAAATAATGCTTTAAGTTGTCTTAGTTCTAGGGAAAGATAATTGCAGTAATTTTGGAAGCACATAAGAAAGAATTGTCACTGACACCATTAATGCAGCTTACCTGAACTTGCATAATTACAGATAAGAAATAGAATCATTGTGACTATATGGCAAGATGGGCATTTTCTTAACAGCCAAAACGCAAATTAAACCTTTATCTTTGCTAGAAACTCTTTCAATACTTAAAAATGAAGCTGGGGTTGCACCAAATCGATCATTTGCTGAAATATAAAAATTAGCACCTAAACTAAACCTAAAACCACATGTTCTAAGAAAGCAAAGCCCAATGACCGAATCTTGCAAAAAAGCAACAGAATACCAAAACCCAACTCACCAGGTGCCTCTAGAGCTATTGCCCTTAAATTCAGAATTGGAACAACTGAAACACCCATCAACAGAATAGCCCTCCTGGTGCAGAAAACGCCGACGTTTGAGGTTTCATCCTTCATACAAGCCATTGATGCTTTGCTCTTTCTCTTTATGGCATTTCTTGGGCAAGTATGAAAGGGAATAAACTTAGAAGGACACGGTGAAGAAGGGGAGGAGAGCGAGTGACTGAATGAAGAGTGCAAAAAGTAAGAACTTCCCATAGCAAAGTCCACCATAGCTTTTCTTGATTTTGAGTGATAGACAAGAACTCAGATAGCAGTCCTCCTCCTGGTTCTATCTCTCCAATTTTTCGCGTTTCAATGGCCCCTCTCTCTCGCTTTGCTAGACCTAAATGCCCTCTTTTAGCTGTCATAATTACTAGAAGACCCCTTCAAACAAATTTCTCTCTTTTTTTTTTTTTCGTTATTAAATATGGGCGTCAATCGTGTCGTGTTGTATCAGTTTCGTTTCGTGTAACTTTTGGTACGTGTCAATATTCGTGTTAATAAAAAATTATTTAATTTGACAAAAACTAATATAATATTATTTAAAAAATTAAAAATTTCTTATTTTTTATATACAATACTCATTAAATAATTATTTTATATCTAATGTACTCATTAATCGTGTTATTCGTGTTGAACCTTAATTTGACTTATTTATTATTTGTGTCAACTAATCGTGTTATTTTCGGGTTCGGTTTGAGTCGGGTTAGTGTTCGAGTCAAAAATTGACACCTCTTAGAGGTAAAGGTATCAACTATATTGGGTTGAATAGATTCGTGTTGAGTTTAATCGGATTTGTGTGAAAAATCATTCAATTCATACACAATTCGTTTAATTAATCAGATAAAAATCTACTTAACTCATTACTTGACATGATTTGTATAATCAATTTAATAAATATTTTTTTATTATTATAATAAAAAAATTATTAAACTTTGTTTAACTAATCTAATTATTAAACTATATATATTATTCTAACAAAAAAAAAATTAATAATTAATTTATTATTATATTAATTTTATTTTGACCAAGTGATAAACGAATTGACATATCTCACTCAAATATGACTCGTGTATTAAACGGATCTAACGAATCCACCTCATTTACAACTAGCACCTGTGAAAACTTCACTTGTATCCGCTTAATTTTGCATCGATTAATTGTATCGTATCACAATTAAAAAGGCCTAATTAGTCATGTGTCAACATGGTCGTTTAACCGGCTGGGGTCTTTGAAACTATGTTGTAGTTCGAAGCAATAATCGATGCACCTTTGTGTACAGTAAGCTTACGGGGCACTTTTGTAACTTAATGGAACGCAATACTAGTATTTTTAGGTAAAAAAAATAGTTGTGGTAGTTTTGTAGTTTGTTCGAAAAATGGAGGTGCCTTTAGTTGAGTCCCACGTAAATGAGATCATGCACCTTTTCTATGGCGATTTCACCAATGGGCAGATGCCAACTCAGATCAGGAACTTTTATCCACAACCTGCTTTGCTGGTTTGCCATTTCATAAGGTCTCTGATTAGTGTGGAAGTTCGGCCGACCAAATCGAATTTAACATAAGCTTAACTCAAATAAAATAGGATTTGAGCTGAAGTTTTTAATATTTGTATTAGACTTGGGGAGAAAAAGAATAATTTAAATTAAATTCAAACAGTACTCGAGTAAAAGTTTTGGTTTATCGAATTCAATCCGTATGTATAAATTAAACTTAAATTGAATTCTAAATCGGACTCAACCTGAATATATTTAAAAATAATTATATAAATCAATATAACAATATAATTTACAAGTTAAAATATTATGGATCAATCTTATTTTAAACATTTGACTATTATGTTTTTGGCGGGACTCTAGGCGATTAGGCAGCCCCCAATTCGGCAAGTGTAAAGACATAGTCGTTATAAGACCGAAGAGGCGCCGAGTACATAAGCCAAGGAGTAATTGCTCGGAGGAGCCGAGTGCATATACTGACACCCACATTTAATATAATTTGACCACACATTTATGGTGCTATGAGTGACTAAGACAGAGTTATTAATGAGCCCCTACCTCCTCGAGACCTAGTCCTGCAGTCATGATGGCTAGACATTCATGGCTACTACGCCAAGTATGTCTCCTCAGTGTACACCGGGGTACTATTCCCCTGAGCATTGAATGTTCAATAGTAAATGTCATGCGCCGATCAATGACACGAGTGCTCGAGAGTAGCCATAAGGGCGTGACGTGTCCCCGAACACTTGTTCTATCATTCTAGCATTAAATATGTGGAAATCTGGGTAGAGAACACTTAGATTTGATTTGATGCGCATATGAGGAGAACTTGAAGATATTGAGGATCATTGTTATATGATCATCATTCAAGTAAATAATGTGAATGTGTTGGTTGAGAAGAGGAGTTGAAAGACCAATGCAAAAAAGTGCAAGAAACAAACTAAGAACGAAAATTGTTGAAATTGTTAATTTGACATAATCTGGGTAATATTAGAATAAATTTTGATGGAGATATCCAATTAATGTGATTCAAGAGGAGTTGGAAAGAAGACTTGAAGATTTACAATTTTGTGTGAAATAGAAATTTTGAGATTTGAATGTCTTTAAGGTGAAAAACATATTGGAAGTTGAAGGTTATGCATAGGAGTTTCAGACATGTCTCAGTTTTAGAATATACAACTCTACTCAAATGTCCAAATGACCTAATTCTAATGAGGTTCGAAAGAAGACATAAAAGGCTACAATTTTGTCTGAATTAGTTTTCTTTAAATTCTAACGTTTTGAGGGTCAAAATCGCATTGAAAGAATATGGAAATGCATAGAAACGATATGCCAAATGTTTGAAGAGGTATATCGATTAGAGGAAGACGTATACTGGTTGGACGAAGCGGTATACTGATTGTGGAACTGAAAAAGCTCAAACGCTTACAGTATCTTCACCTAATGGCCTTTGATGAACCGACAAAGTGCCTCTGACAAATCAGTATACCAGTTGGGCATTCCGAATATGATCGTTGTGCCTTTAATGTCTAGTTTCTCTTCTCTAATTGCTTACACTATAAAAGGGCATTGTGAGGGTTATTGAAGCAAGACGTTGTGGAGAATTATTTGGGAGTTCTTGAGCATTCAAAGGGTTATTTAAATATCAATAAAGGATCATTATTATGAGATCTTGGCTGCAAGGCCAATTGTGATTATCTCCCTCTTTGAGTTTAATTGAGTGAATTTTTGCTTGTAAAAAGAGGAGATATTATTGTATTGAGTGAGCCTGAAAGTGCATCTATTGAGCTTGAATTATAAAGGTGTGTCTTCACCTACCAAAGAAGACAAGGCTTGTAAGTGTATCTATGAAATACATGTTTTGTACTTACTAGAAAAAACAAAGCTCGTAATGAAAACTTCAAGAGAACTATTTATGGCTTCATTCCTCATTATTACACAATGCATGCTATTTTCATTCAATTGTTCTTTTTTTTTTTTTTTGGGGGGGGGGGGGGAAGGGGGATTTAAACTATTAACCTCAAGAAGGCAAAGCATTCAAAAAAGTAAAGAGTACCATTGGACCAAAAATCCATTGGTCATTCAATTGTTAAGTCATCTTGATTTTTGTTCAAACTTCATGGTGCAGTATGGAATCAAGGGAATCTATTATTTTTTAAGAAACTCTTCATAAGATCTTCCTACATTCCTCAATCAATTGAGAAAATCTTCCACGTTCAAGCATTTATTAAGACATTATTTTGAAGAAGAAACTAATCTAGCAATTGCTTCTATTCTTCTCTTAACAATAATTACAAAAGATTCTCCAAAGGAAAATTAAGAGTAAAATTAAGATACAACTTAGAGTACCCTTCACACTTACAACTACAGAAAAGTTCCCAAGACAAATGAAACTCTAAGTTATTTGCTACCCAAAGCAACTCCACAAAAGTTGAGGTACCGTTAACTTACTAGTACACGTTGAGCCTCCTCAATGAGGAGGTACCTCATTGAGAATTATGGTAATTATGGTGTTGCTCAGGGGTGATAGGGGGACCAATGTGTTGTCTATGTGCCAATCTTCACAACCCATTTTTGTATGCAGAAAGAGGCACATCACCGACGAAGAAGATGACCTTGTTGTTGCTTGAGATGAGACTTTTTTCAAGGGATTTTTTCATGGTTTTCCTCTCTGTCATTCTCAAATGATCAGCTAAAATCTCCTCATCACGACATTCATCACTGCAAAATGCTGCATCGCCTCTGAAAAATGTATGACTATACATAAGGAGATATACTTTAAAAAAAATTATTAAATATGAACTATTTTGACAATATTTGATTAAGGTGGCCAATCTATGCAAAAACTTATCATAACACTATAATGGTTTGCTACCATTGCTACAAAATCTGGTGTCGTATTGTAAATAGTTGTAATACTTGAGAGTTTTTTAGAACAAACCTGTACATGTAAGTGTCTATTCCTTCCAAATTCTTCTTGCATTTGAGACAATTCTTGAGGAAGTCATCTCTTAAATCAGGAGTTGGTGAACTGCCTGTTTGATAATTAGCTACTTGGATTGAGCTCATTTGTCCTCTTGTCGCACTGAAATTGGCCAATTTACTTGGATAATATTCCAAAATACAACCACCAAAAAAGTTAATCACTTTGGGGCTTAGACCATGAAAAATTATACTAGTATACTCTTCACATTGTTTGATCTCTTCTATCGTAAGATCCTCATTTCCATGGCTAGAGCAAATGATTACTGGAATTGAACTTGTAGTAGCCGAGGTATTTTCGTTCTTGGTAGTAGTTTTGGAACTATAAGTTTAGTAGCTTACTGAAATTGAACAAACAATATGAAGATCAAGGACTGGAAAGGAATTAATTGGCCTGTTTTGTGTGCATGTATTTCATGGTATATATGGAAAGATAGGAATAGAGAAAGTATTTCTAACAATTTAACCTCCCCCCCCCCCCCAAAGAATTGTTGCTAGGGAAGCGTGGCTTCTTACTTTGGATTCTGTTAAAGCCTTTCATAATGTTCATGTTGTTCCTGATAATGCCTTTTTCAGACTTATTGCATGGTCTTTTCCCCAAACAGGATGGAATAAACTGAACACAGACAGATGCTTCAAGGGGCTATTTGTTAAGGGGATATGCGTGGACTTGGCAAGATGGGTTTGGGGAAAATAGTCCAAAGGACCCCCCGAACCCCATGTTTGGATTGAAAATTCAATCCTGGGTTCTCAAATCTGACTCGTAGTTGACGTAAATATTAAACTCTTGATTATGAGTTTCGTCAAACCTAAGAGGGAGTGGGTTTGGGAAGATGGGTTAAGGGATTGAAGATACAAAAAATAATTGTACCCCTTAACATGAGTATGAATTGGATTGATCAAAGGTAAAATAATTATTTATAGAACAAATAGTTATTAATAATTATGATATATTTATGGGTCTTATATGTGTATGTGTTGCATACCAAATATGGGTATGGACTAGGTTCAATATTGAATCTCATATTTATAATGAAGGGTTTGGAATTAAAAGGGTTTGGGAAAGCCAATTCAAACCCTCCCAAAAAATCCATCCAAACAAGCCCCAAAGGTAATCTTGGTCCAGCAGGAATGGAAGAAATTATTAGGGATGATCAAAGAAGATGGATTGCAGGATTCTATGGGAAAATTGATGATACTACGAGCTTACAAGCAGAGATACATACTATTTTCAAAGGACTAGAGCTTGTTCAAAAGAGGAATGTCACTCATATCTTATTGGAAACTAATTCGCTTGAAGCAGCCAAATTTTTGTCCATGGATCTGGAGGCTACCAATCCGAACAGAGCCACTATTACTAACTGCATAAGGTTAATGAAGCTGAATCACATTCCCATTATTCATACTCTCAAAGAAGACAACCAGTGTGCAGATACACTGACTAACCTTGGAGTCCAGCAGTTGGAACATTTTGTTTAGCTCGATGTTCCCCCTCCCCAATTGGCGAATTTTATGTTGACTGATCTCTGACTAGCATTGTTTTTCCTAAGAATTCTATTTAGTTTGTTTTAAATTTTCGACGAACCCAAAAAAAAAAAAAATAATGTGAAGCTTTATCGAAATGGGTAGGATTAGAAGAGATTTCTCCTCCCTCCTACAGGAGTAGCATCTAAGCCACCTAAGTGTTTGGAAATTAATTAGGTTGTTTCTAGGGATGAGACTATTTCTCCTAGAAGAATCTGAATATCCATAGGAATGCCTCGAGGAAGTGGGGACATTGATCATTAACTGTTGTCCAATAACTATGTTCTTATTATTATTTGTTGGATCTGTAACTTCCTCATATGGTTTGGTTTCATTAATTGGTGAATTTATGGTGTTGAAGCCTACTTTATTGCAATCCAATCTTTCTTGAGGTGTCTTAGGATCTTGAGTACCTACAACTAGATTGGTTTCAAGTTTGGGATCGGACCTAAGACCCAAAGTAGAATTAAGGGTACTAATTGACTCGGAATTTGATGAGTTATCGATATCGATCAGACTCTACAGATAATGAGATGATCTCATGACCTTGACCGATATAAGATTCTAAATTAGCATGACGAGTTATATTATTTCCCATTTGTAGATGAAAATCTAATTTGATCTTCAGTCCTAATTAGCATTCGTTACCTAGAACTGCATTGAGAAAAAACCAACAAATTCCTACATGCAATCAATTCAAGCAGATGATTAAGAGAACTTTATAAGAGAAGAACAGAAATAGCATAAAGTGATATTAATTAACCAGAAGCAGACAACCATGAAATAAGGAAAGAAGTTCAAGTAACTTTAATCTGAATGCGTTCATGGAACTTTCTATAATCAGATAATCCGTCGAGCAATGCATAACAAAAACTAAAAAAAACATGAATTTCTTGAAGAGAGAGCGTAGGTTATGCATCAAATGACAACAAACAATCAAAAAATGAAATTAAATCTCTTACATGCAACGAAATGCAAACCTGGTCTCAGCACACCCACACCCAAACATATTGGTTAGGTCACAAAAATTGAGCAATTCAAGCAAAGCACACTAAAGAAATGGAATTTAAACCCAACCTGATTTTTCACTATAAAATCAAAACCCAAATGCAGCTTTTGATGAGCAAAATCTGAGAAGCTGGTGAACTCTCTATCTCTATGCACTCTATCTCTCTTTCTCTCTCTATGTTCTCCCCACTTCTCTCTCTAGAACTACACTTCTCTTGTTTCTTTCTTCCCTTGCATGCATGTATAGTAGAGCCACCATTACTATTCTACATCCAATATTGGACCAGTAATCTACAAGATAAAAAAATTTCGATGCTCTTAAGATTCTTCTTCCACCATGATAAAACTTCACAAGAATGGTGTGACTGAATTGGTGGGATAAATTTGATGATTTTATATGACCATTTTATGAGTTGTGTCAGTGATTAAAGACAAAACTGACTTGGGTTGGGTGACTTCCAAAAAAAGGGACTCAACTTTATCTGAAACTTCAATTCTTTTTTGGTTGTTTATTACCTACAACTTAAGGGAAGTGGAGAGAATAGGCCGAGGAGTTCCAGTGCTCGTCCGATTACAATCCATCGACTACATACCATGGATTAGATGACTTAAATACCTTCAGAACGTTGTCCACAATAATATTTAATAGTGAAAATTAGGGTTGAGTCTGCCTTAAATGACTTATAGTGAGTTTAGTCGAAATTTATTTGGAGATAAATTCCTTTGTAATCTTATTAATAAGTAGTTAAGTCCACTATTTTTTTTAAATTCTGAAATACTCTTACTTGAAAACAACTTTAAATTAGTTTTTTAATTTGGAAACTGTTATCTCTTAATTTACTATCAATGAAGATATGTCACTAAATTTGTTTACATAAATTTAAAATTTAAATTCCAGATGAACTCATATGGACTCGTCGAAGTAGATTATTTATTTTTGGTTTAAATGTTACTATTTTTTGTTTTGAATGTTATTATTTTTTATTTTGTTTAAATTTTTTTGTTTTTTTTTTTTTTGATAATTTTTTTTTTAAAAAATGGTGGAGGCAAGGAAGAAAGCCCAGCGACCACCCCTATAGGCCCTCACCGGTGGGATCATTAGGCCCTTGATCGTGCCTGGAACACCTCTTGGGACCAGACCTAGCTAGGCTAGAATAGCGATCAACCACCAAGCCCTAATGAAAACTCCAAAACTCGAACTTGCAACCTTAAGGTGAGGAGTAAGACTAGTATCCCACTAGACCACCCTACTTGGTGGTGTTTAAATTTTTTTGTTTGTTATTGAATGTTATTATTTTTTTTTAAGTGTTATTGTTTTCGATTTTGAATGTTACTTTTTTTTTTTTTTGAATGTATAACAACTCAAAATCCACCCTGGGAGGCATTACTATCTATAATGATTCATATAATGAGAGTAACTAACAAAATCCACAAATAAACAAATTTTTATTCATCATCCATAATAATTAAAACATCATCCAAAATAATTATGTCAAACTATGACGATTACATCCCAAAAATCAACTATTATCTTGCAGCAGAATAAAGAAAATATTAACCTTAACATTATCTCAAAATGTGGCCCCCAACCTAGAACATAAGAAAAATAGCTCTAAATGTCCACCTCGGGATCTCCGTTCCCATCAATCTGGGCTTCCCAATTCACTTGCTCATCAACTCCGAGCTCTTACTTTAAACCATAATCAGAAAAAGATATTGTTTTTGGGGGTGAACACTAAACTCTGTAGGAAATTCTTCTCAAACTCGAACAAAGTTTTGAAAATATATAAAACAAGTCAGTCTCATTTCACAAATATCATATATAAATTTTAAAAGAAAACAGTGACAGTTCATCCGATCTCAACGCAGTATCAATAAATTAAATGAAGAAGTGAAATCAACTTTCAAACAATGAACAATTTCCAACATTTTATATCATTTTCAACAAATTGTATCATTATACCCAATTGTATCTCAGGTAAAAAGTAAGACTTCTCATGAATATACACATTGAGAATATACTGGCTCACACACACACTCAATCCTTACAAGGATATGCAACTTTAGGAAGGGCGTATATCGACGCATCGACAGAGACGATCCAAAACAGGAACCCTCAGCCTCGATACCATGTGAGCGAATAGTGGTTTGGTCCTCACAAGGCACCAACCCCACTACAAGTGATAGGGAACCTTCAAACCCACTCGGAGTAAGAAATGCATCTACCCACACTACGATACTCGGTCAAAGATCACTTATGTTCATCCAAACATCCACACAAGAGATGCAATACTCAACCAATTTCTCAAATCACAAGTAAATCAAGAACCTCAAATTCCAAATTTATTTTTCAACATAATAGCTCAAGAAAATAAGTAAGAGATCATCAAAAGATATAATTTTATTGTTACAAAGTAAAGCACGAGAGTTTTTGAATCAAGAACAATAGAATATCAAGGGAAAAATCTCTACTTCTTGAAAAACAAGGGTTTTGAGATCAAAAATAAGAATTTCATGGTTATCAAACCATAATTTCATTCAAAATATGATATGATTTACAAGAACATCAAAAAACAAGGATTCCATAGCAAGTATCTACGATTGAGATTCAAAACACACATATATATAAACCCTAACTTCAATGGACAAGATTATGAAGAAATTCTTACCTTTTTTTGTTAGTGTTGTGTGAAAAACTAGAGGCTTTGATTCAATCCAATACAAAAAATACCTTCAATCTTGTGTTTCTCCCTTTTTTTCTTACTCTCCAAGGCTCTTTAGGGTTAGAACTGATGAAATGCGGCTAAAGGAGGTATCCTTAGGTATTTATAATGTAAAATTTGGAAAGAACATTCAAAACAGGTCTGGGACGTGAAACCCCCCGTTTGGTGTGTCCGGACGCATGTTTTCTACTGTCCTAACGCGTGTTTCTTCACCCAACTTTCTGCCAAATGCATCCGGACGTGTGTCTATTACTGTTCGGACGCGGGTAATAGTATACCCTCAACTTTCATATCTATTTTGACCTATTTAGAAGTCAATTCAAAAAAAAATTTGTGAAATACACTTTTGTAGCTATTGAAGTCTAGTTTCTACTTTCCAAAAATCAGATCAATCGGATTTAGGAGTAAAAAGTTATAACTAAAATACTAAGGTAGTATCAAATTCCTTCCTACCCAAATCCTCTCAAAATAGGTTTTAACTTTAGAATACTTATAAACTTTTAATACATCTCATATTACCTCTTTCAATGTTTTTTGACCTTCTAGATTCAATGATGGACTTATTTTGACATAAAAACATTTAAAAACTTACTTAATCACCCTTCTTAAGCTTACACAGCTTCAAAACTAAGTTTGACCCAAAAATCAATTGTTCGAAACTCAAATTTTATGATCAATTTTTCAACAATGATTCTAAGTTTCTACCATCATTTTATTCATATTAGGAGAACTCTTAAAATAATAGTATCCTTATTTAATTTTAATACGGGGTCTTCCAGAATGTTCCATGTTATTGTTTTTTATTTACCATGTTACTGTTTTTGTTTGCATGTTATTATTTTTGTCGGCCATGTTACTATTTATGTTACCACTTTTGTTGAGCATGTTATTACTGTTATTTTTTCAAATATTAATACTCAATGTTATTATTATTTTTTTTGTGTTTAAATATTATTATTTTTTGTGTTTAAATGATACTATTTTTTGTGTTTAATATTATTTTTTTTTTTAATGTTACTATATGTATATTTATAATATAAAACAAGGTAGACTTCAATAAGCTCATCTGATGGCCTCAAATAGATTCATTTAATGGCCACCAAATTCTTTTCAAAATCATTCATATTACACCGAGCCTTCAGGCACGAATTAATCCTAGTATATCTATAATATACAACAAGACAGACTTCAATTAGCCCATCCCACGGTCTTAAATAAATTTATCCAACGGTCATCACTCTATCAAAACTATTCATATTGAATTTCTCTCCCCTTCCCAAAAAAAAAAAATTCATCACTTCTTACTTAGAATGCATCTTGCCTTCAAGCACAGATTAACCTTAGTACATATATGAGGGAGAAATAAATAATCTTATTCTATATATAGATATAGATAAATATGAGAGAGAAAAAGAATTTTAATGTTAGTCAAACTCATAAAATTTAAGAGTTTTTAGTTTTCAAATTTGTTTTAATTAAACATAACTATTTGGGGTATTTTGTATCATGGAGATTAAAATGGACTTAATATTAAACAAGTTTTCTTGTGGACTTATCAGCAAATAAATTTACAAAAGGGACCGACCTCCAAATGTTTTTATTTAATATAGTGATATCATCATCTAATAATAAAATAAAATATTTAATTACTTGTGCAAATGAGGTCCTGTTATTTAATAGTGTTATTTAATATTGTATGTTATTAATTGTCAATATTTTGAGAAAATGGTATTGTAAGTTAACAAATTTGCTCGGATTCAAACCAATATTGGACCTATTTTGAGCTAATTTTTTGGGTGTGAAATAAAGATTTAAAAAGTGAAATGAAAAAATTATAGTTAAAAAAACTTTTAGAACAGTTTAGAGTATTCCCAAAAAAAATCATTTTTTCTTTAAATAAGCCCCTTTTTTAGCTTTCATTGGTGCAAATAAAAATTATTTTTGTCCAATAAGTTGATAGAAAAGACTCCCAATAAGTCCGAGTCCAAACAAACAAACAAGACTTCTTTTCCTCTTAATGTTCCAAAAATTGAAATTTTCAGCAAATTCCAAACAAGCCCATTGACTAAGTTTGAACTTAGTTCATGAGGAAAGAAGAAAAACTAGGAAAATTCTTACAACTTGATCATATGACTTATCAAGCTCCATTTGTGCTCAAGCCAATATGCTAGTCAGCATAGAGTGTAACTCAAAAAAATTAAAGATTAAGAGAATAAACTAATATTTGCTTTAAAAAGCTCACATGATATTGTTACCAAATTTCATTTGTAGTTCTTTTTAATTTTGCAAGATAAGTTTGCCAAAATTTGGTATTATTAGTATAATAATAGTTTACAAATATGAAGAGCTAAATGACATATATAACCTCGAGTAGGTTTGTCACTCACACAATCTAATTATAAGGCACCACATATTGTGGGCAAAGAGTGTTTGTTTATGTAAAGAACAATGTTATTGAGATCTAATTTGTTGACTTAAATCACTGTGGCATTTGGATTGATTGTGGTCTCCATCAAATATTAAAATTTGGTATTAATCTAATAGTTTTAATGACGCCACATCATTAAATAAATAAATTATGTCAAATTTTTAGGTCCAAATAATATTTTTCTTTAAGTTAAGTGGTTAGGAGCTCAGGAATTAGGACAGTGCCAACGGGTCATATAGCTACACGTGGCCGGTTGACATAAAGATGTGACCCGCAAAGTTGGCCCAAAGGCCAAGGCCTTAGGATGTGGCCCGAGAATTGGGCGCATAGCACATTCGGTGTACGTTAGCATATTTAGCTCTATATCCTCCACTAATCTATTCATAGATGCGCGATGTCCAAACTTTCAGTAAAATTAGGGTTTCCCATCTGAAAAATTGATCACCTTGTGCTTGATTTGTGTTTGATTTTGCAGGAAGTTCGAGAATTGGAGACCCTTAAGAGTATGGAAAATTGCATGTCTGAGGTAAGAACCATGGGTTTTTTTTTGGTGAGTATGATTCTATGGAAAGAGGCTAATTTGGTAGTTTACGACTAGAATTTTGAGATAGTTCGAAATGGTTTTGATGTTTTCGAGGCTTGATTATTTTGGTACTGTACAGTGGAGAAATAGTGGTTTGGAATTTGGAATTTGCTTTATTTGGGAATAATTACAGTTGTTATTGAGCTGAGAATAATGGGAGTTGTTTAATTGGGAACTTGAGTGTATGTTGTAGGAAAAAAAATTGTTATTCGGGATAGGGATGAGCTCTTTATGAGAAAAATTTATTGGGTTCTATAGATAAGAGTAAAGACAAGAGAAATTGATGGTCCGGTAATAAAAGTTTGGTGTTTGTTGGGACAATTTTGTGCCATTTGGGGGTGGAATAAATGGGTTTTGTTTTTTTCCTGAAGTTAATTTCGCTAGATTAGGATACCTGGCTGGATACTTATCTGGTTATTGATCTTGTGTGCTTGGATGGATGACACTGAGGATGATGCGTGGTATCCCCCAAATGCTAATGGGCTGAATGAGGGTTACGGGTCATCACATCACCCGAAGGTTCCTGTTCGGGACTCTACTTATGCCGAGGAAGAGGATGATGATGATGAAGAAGAAGAAGAAGAAGAAGAAAATGGTGTTCAGGAGGTAGGCAAAGATGATGATGATGGTGGTGGTGATGATGATAGTGATGATGTCGAGGATGAGGATGATGAATATAATGGGAGGATTGGAGATGGTGATATACAAAGGCACCATAAGAAGAGGAAGCTGAGAAGCTTGTTATCAAGTTATGAATTTGCTCCTCGAGTACCACCACCATCAATGGCAGCTGCATCGGCATCAAAGCCATCATTTGGTGGACGTAATTCACTCACAGATTGGACGGAACATGAGACATTTATTCTACTAGATGCTTGGGGTGATAGGTTTCTCAAAGGTGGGAGGAAGAGTCTTCGGACTGAGGAATGGCAGGAAGTTGCAGAGAAGGTTTCGCAGGAGTCAAAGATTGAAAGAACAGAGACCCAGTGTCGAAACCGTTTAGATACACTGAAGAAGAAATATAAAAAGGAGAAGATGAAGTTAGGAGAGATTGGAAGTCCCTCCAGTAAATGGGTATATTTTAAGAAGATGGATATGCTAATGTCCTCTTCCCAGCAAGAGGCAGGCCTTTCATGTGGAGTGGACTCGGGGGAGTATATTTTCATGAACCCTAGAGTCTATCTAAATCGTGCGAATGGGTTAGATGAGATGAGGGATAGCCCGGGGAATTCAGAATCTGCAGATGGTGAGGAAGATGATTCAAATGGGATCCCACTCAAAAGGGCAAGGAATGGTGGTCGAGAGAGAGGTGATGGAACTTCCTTCAGATTGCTTGCAGATTCCATTAAAAAATTTAGTGAGATATATCAGAAGATTGAGGACAGTAAGAGACAGCAGATGCTAGAACTCGAAAAGATGAGGATGGATTTCCATAGAGAGTTGGACTTGCAAAAGAGGCAGATTCTGGAGAGAGCACGGGCTGAGATTGCAAAAATACATCAAGTAGATGATGAAGAGAATGAGATTTCCGCAGAGAATATTAGTGGGTGATGTGTCTGAACCTTGTTTTCTTTCTTTACTCTTACTACCTGTATTGGCTGCATGCCATTGTTGTATTGTATTCTGGAGCATATTTCCTCTTCCACTCTTTATTTGTTAGGCAATAAAACTGATGTGATGAAGGAATGTATATGTTAATATTAGTTGAAATGGTAGATACAATAAAACTTCTAAGATGATTTTCTTTTCTCTTCATGCCAATGTTGTTTCAGTTATTTCATTGCTATTTTGCTGTGGTTCTTTTTTGCTCACCAACACTTGTTGGAGTAAATATTGAATGCAACGGTGATACGATATCACCATTGATGACATGGTATTACCAACCAATAATAAAATCCCAAATAAGCAAGGTGAATCTCACTTGGGCTTACATGGAAGAAGAGTGAAGAGTTATTTGTTTACATGACAAGTTAGTTATTAATTTTTGTGGGGTCCATTTATTTATTTGTTTTAGCATTATTGGTTGGTGATACCACATCACCTTGTTATGTGATATCACTGTTGTAATAAATATTTTCTCCACTTGTTGAAGTAGCATGTGATATCACTGTTGTAATAAATATTTTCTCCACTTGTTGAAGTAGCTATCTTTTGCTTTGCTGATCAATTTTCGATTAGTGACTGCCTATGTGTAATTGGAAACTGCAGATTACAATTACAGAGACAGTTCGACCAATAGTTACTGATGTAGCTTGTTGATTTTTTATCATCTCTATTGGTCATGGTGTAATTGTATTTTGTACAGACCAGTATGCATGTAGGCGCATGATAAATTATTTGCTCTTTCAAATTTGCTTTGATGGATATCGTGTGCTTTATCACCTGTACGTTTTTACCTTTCTCTTGGAGGGAGGGGAAAGAAGGGTAGCAAAGATATGTGGTGGTGTTAGTTGCAAATCATCAATTGTTCACAATCCCAGCCAGAGGGCAGATCGAATTGGAGTTTCCTTGAGTAGCTACCAACTTACAATTATCCTTAAATTTCCGTGCTTAGTGGAGAAGAAGCAAAGAAAGGTATGCCCGCTTGCCGTCTTGGCAAACTGTCTTGTTCTCTGTCCCAAACTGGGATCGCTCGGCGGGGCCAATTAACTGGCCCATCCTACCTACTAGAGCTAATAAGGTTAAAAGAAAGGATGCGTCGAGCAAGCAACGCAACCCCCGGTTCTTCTACTTCAGTAAGCCCCGTCCTTGTACAAAGAGGAAGCCACGTCCAATTAGTAAAGATAAAACCATGGAGTAGGATTGGGAGTAGATGCAAACTGATTAGCGGTCAAAGCGAACAACGGGTATCATACAGCAAGTACAGGTTGATGGCTTATGAATGAAAGATGGTAACTTCTCAACCGGTGGAAACATAAAAAAATGGACGTAGCTGTGTCTATCCTCCCACAGATATTTGCACACTCCGGCAATCTGTAACGCGGGCAACCCTCACCATTGGCCAGCCTCAATGTCGAAGCCAATGCGTGTACTTAACAGATACTTTACAGTTTTCCACTACCACAGCAACTTCAAGCCTGTGTAGACAAGTGGTAGTAGAACCAAAAAACCAAGTACTATCATTTTCAATCTAAGTAACATATGACCAAACTTGAGGAAGCAAGCACTTCTAAACGCAGCAAAGCTACTAGGGATCCTCGGGAACATGTACAACTGACACCTACAACAACCAGATCAACTACTTTGAATTCATGACTAAATCGTTTCAAAACATGATAACATCGTAAACAAATAACTTCTTTTCCCCTGGGAGACCGAACAATCAACAGAACAAAGAAAACTGAACTCAAACGCTGAATGGACTGCACAACTTAAGTAGTTGGTAATTGCAAGATGGTTTCTGCAAATCATGAACTGCTAGCGTGCTCGGGATGAAGCCTCACACACAATTTAACATGATTAACACATACATACACCACAAGATAGACTTTGTACCCAATGCCAGCAGGGCATTTATAGCATGCAAAATCCAGTAAGAAATGGAACCAAATAGTACATCCCCGCAACAAAAAGAGAGTTGGATGACACTGATAAATATTAGGTCTCATCAAGAACACAGTGGGACGGATAGTAGCAATTTACCTATCCACTTACAAGCCCTTTTTGGAAAACTGTATTCCAGATACCTGCCCTATAAAAATTGTAGAACTTGCCAAACCATCAAACTGAGTAAATGGCTTTAAATAACCTCACAAACAAACATTCCATGGCCTCTCTAGACCATTAAAACCTGGTGCAAATGGTAAACTATATGAATGAACCAAAATTTGACCTCCATAACACAAAATTACAAACTGCTTTACAGACTTATGGAGCAGTTTGTGTGGTTCCGGACTTGTCTGTTTCCATTGGCTCAGCTTGTGGTACTTCACCTCCAGCTGCAGCACTCTCATTAGCATCGTTGTTGGGGTTGTCATTCTCTGCACCCTGTGGCTGCGGCTCACTTCCTTGGGGAGTCTGTGACGGTGATTCAGGAGTTGCTGGCTTGGCTGGCTTTGGTTTCGTCATTATCGGTCTGCAGAACCTGTAGGAGCAATCATTTTTTTTAATATTGTGATAGCAATTATACTGTAAGATAATTGAATGCAGCAGATCAACAGGAAATGATGCAAAATTCTAATGAACACAGAATGCAAATATAAGGCCTTTATGGGGGACTTTGCATGATTGAAAATTGGAAAAAAAAAAAAAAAAAAGGTCGAATGTGAAACAGGGAACAAAATGATGACCTAAAACTGATTGCAATCAATAGATTACAATCATATTTCATATGTATAAACTGGTCGTATGTATTCATTCATGAGGGGCTAATAATGTTATTTCGCGTTAAAGATGCAAACATAGAAATCACAATCAGTCGAAGTACAGTCAGAAGTAAAATCTCAATTTCAATGAAGTAACTAGAGTGTACCTATCAAGTGCCTCAGCTTTCCTTCTCACATCAGCTGACAAAAGAACCGGAGTGACATGTTTTGGGAGCGAATCCTGATGCTGCTTGTTCTCTCTCAACCAAGCCTCAGCTTCCACACACTGATTTAGAACCTGAAAGTAGCCATAGGTGAAAATGGGAATATCTTTATTGTACTTCAAACCTGTGACCACAACTTATTTTGTTGCAGATCTGTCTCCCCAATCAACATCATCCAAGTATGAATGATAGAGCGAGAGAGAGAGAGAATTAATCTGAAAAATCACTACCTTCTGCTTATCTGCTAAATCGATGTGATCAAATTTAGGATCATTCAACAATGCAGCCTCTCTGTAACTGTTGATGCAATGGACAGCTTGATCTATCACTGATCCCCTTTCCGTGTACTCCTTGTAGCGCTCCTCAATGGGATCACCTTGCTGCAGGATATACTTCCGAGTCAAATCACCATCCATTAACTAGAGCAAACAGCTGTTCAATAAAATAACAGCAAAAAACTACTGAAACCAACCTTCTTGAGCTCCTCAAGCTTGGCAATATAAACACCTTTGGTTTCATCCTCACCATCTTCATATAACCAGTCTTCAACTTCCTGAAGTTTAGCAGTAAACTCTTCTCTCTCTGAATCCAAAACGAATTCCTGATATTTGTCATGAAGCTAGAAACCAAAATAGCAAAAAGTGAGCATCAAATTTCCCATTGTTCCCTCAGAATCAAATAGACAAAGAAAATAACATACCTTGTTCCTCATGTCATAAACATAGGCCTCCACAGCATTCTTCTTATCTTTGGTCTCTTCCATAACACGATCCTGCAAAGCCATTTCAAACTCTTTCTCCACTGCTTTTTGCACATCTGCAGGTGCCATTCCTCCGTAAATCAACTCTGATACAGGTATATTTGTTTTTTTCACCTTTCTCTTCGAAGCCTCAACCTGAATACAAAAATAACAATAATAACAAAGAAAATTTAATATCCGTAGGCCATAATGCTTAATTTGTTTTATTTTGTAACACTAAAGGAAAACTAATTTCTCTAATAACAAATCCATAGATCTACCATTTGAAACAGCATGAAAGACTTCGAGACATTTTCAATATCAATAAGCAAAAATCAAACATCTAAATGTAAGCTGAATCTGGAATGCAAACAAGCTCAGAAATGTACTGTATCAGTTTTGGGCGTCAAATAAACTGGTGTTATCCTGCAATGGCACACAAGCAGCCAAAAGGATTGTTGTCTTCTCATCAAAGAATTCTCTATTCTTTTTTTCATCTGGTAGGGGACTTTTCTTTGTTCTTTTCAACTGCAATATCGAAAGGAGGGCCAAGACACCTTAACAACCTAAGAGCCACAAGGTACACCATAGTGGAAAACTTCACTTCAATTGGCTGCAGAAAGAAGCCGACTCTTTTATAGGGTAGACACAGATATCACAATGTGTTTATGCAAAAGGAACTCAGTATTAGATCATACTGACATGACAGTCATACTAAGCGAATTAACTCAGATGCTCACTTGTTTGTTTGTAGGAGTGGATCGATAAATACCATTTTCGACAGTCAAAAAGAGTCATAAAATGTAGGGTTCCTTTCCCTATTTCTCGGCATCAACCAACCATGTCACTAAAGACACCTTGGTCATATACACTTGGCCAAAAAAACTAGATATTGTAACGTGAAACCTCAACCCCAACCCTAACAAAGGGAATAACTGAGGGAGGCTCAAGGATGGGCTGCTAACTCCCACACCTAACCAGTAGTATAAACATCTCCCAATGCTTTGTACTTGATTTTCAACTGAATCAACCAGAGAGCATACAGGCAAATAAATGAGTCATAAACAGCAGCAGAAACAACCTAACAACTAGTATATCCGACTGCTCACAAATTCACCTCACCCTTCTTCCCAACCTGCCTCCCATCCAGAGCTTCTCCTTTTTTCCTCGATTATTTTAAACTTTCAACTCAAAGTATTTAAACATCCGTGTAATGCTATTCTTTAAAAAAAATCCACAAACTACAATTCACAAAAGCAAAGACTGTTCTTAGTACATTTACTGCACATGATGTAATAATCTGTTATGAGAAAATATAGAAAGAACAAAAAAAGAAAGAAACCCAAAGACACACAAGGGTTGCTTTCCATTCTAATCTTTTTTTACCACCAACCCCCAAGATTTAACTTGAAAGTTTCAATTTAGTAGAGCAAATTTTTATGACATCAGCAAAATAGTCATTCCACCTTTCGAAACAAGACACTGGTAGATAATATGTAAAACTATAAATTACACTGTAACTGAAGCTAAATGCAATAAACGTCAGAAAAATTAAGTAAATACATGTTTCTTAAAACAGAAGGCTACTTACACAGTCTTAAGAGAAAATCAAACCAAAAAAGGAGGCTTATTTTTCAAAAAACATAGGTTGATTTCAGTAAATTAGGAGCTACTTTCCAAAAAAAGGAAAGAAAAATACAAATGCAAGAAAAAAGAACAAAGAAAGATACGGAGGATGACAGAGACGAAAAAGAAGAATATTGAGATCATTGACTCAAAAAAGATATTTATACTTTGAATTATATTAGGGTAGATCTGTGACGTTCACAGGTGAAATTTAGGGTCAGAATAGATAGTCATACTTGGAGCTATACTGTGGTGTTATGCACATCAACTATTCAAATTAAAGTCAATGGATCAAAAGCCCCAGAAATATTACTTAGGGAGAAAAAAGCCCCTGCCTCATAGCCCTGGGTTTAAGCCCATGCCGCAGGCTTCTTGCTCCTCGATAGCACCTTGGCCTCCAGGCACTTTGGCTCAATTCAGGCCCAGGCATGCCTCTAGGCGCACTTTTCACAACATTAGTGAAGACCATATAAAATGTGTTTCATGTTTACATTGGCTCATTTCAAGCAATGTTTACTGACCTTAGCATCAGTTTCCATTTGGACAGGCTTGTCTCCGGCTTCTGGAACACCGTTTTCAGTCCCAGGAACATCACCAGCTCCTTTAGCATCTTGCATATTTACATCGATTTCTGTGGTACCAGGAGCAGAAGCAGCAGCATCAGCTGGGGCTTCATCGGTCTCCATCTTAGTTGCTTCCTTAACAGGCTCTTTTACAACTGGAACTTCAGCCTCCTCTTCTTCCAAAAGCTAAATTAAATATTAGAAAGAGATTCATTAAACATTCTACTATAACTCATTGAACCATTCTGGAAAGTAGGTAAAAACATCTCCACGACTTACTGTTGCTGACTCGACCGACACAATTCCATGCAGATTTAGGCGTACTTTAACCTTCAGTTTGGCCCGTTCACTCTTTGTTGATTGGAAGGGACCGATCTGTCATCAGCATTTCATCAAAAGCAATGTTAGGTATGAACTCCAAATAGTAAGACCTCATACACTTAAGGAAAAAACTAAAACTAATCAACCAACAAAAGTGTGTAGATCTGTTACCGTATAAGTGCTAATCTTTGTTCGTCCTTGAAATTCACTCACGTCAACATAGTGCACGTCTATTGAGAATGTGCCAGATCTGTAAAATGTCAGAGCCTTCACACTCGGTATTGGATTCCCCTTAGGAAAAACAATGGTATTCTGCTGATTATCTGCAGCTCCATTTTGTGTATCTGGAGCAGAACCTTTCCATGACAGCGCAATAGGGAAAGGAAAGACATCATTGACCTTCAAAACCAAGAAAGAAATTATTCATCAGATAACATACCACATCACCATCATAAGTGCAACTAAAAAAAGATTCATGCAAGAGAAAGAAAATCACTTCCAGAAAGTAATTCTTTCACTCCTTTCCTATAGAAAGTAACCAGAATGTAAGAAAAAAAATCAAAGCATAAGTAAATGGGCACAACCTCTCGTTATAGAACATGACAGCAAGTAACCAACATGGATGCCACGGTAAATGCTCAAGTTAACCACAAGGTTTTATTATGGATCTAAGGGCAGTCAGATGAAGAAGAAAATGCAGACCATAAACTACAAATCAAAATCAGCACCAACAAGCACCTGTATCAGTATTCAAAGATTTAAAAATCTCTCTTCAACCATATCTAAAAACAAATCTTGTTGGTTCTCAACAACATGCCATGGCAATCTGAGTATGAGCATGCGTTTGAACTTTGCTGCACACTAGAAAAAATGTAGTAGATGCTTCACTAACACATTTTGCATATGATTGGAAAAAGTCAGTGATAACATGAAGTTACATGTCAACTTTCTGGAGTGAGCAAGCAGCAAAAATAAAATAATAACTCACCGTGACAAGAAGAAAAGAGTGGAAGCAATATGACTCCTAGAAGATAAATCTCATAGTATGATTACCACCAGTACAAGAAATATGCTGTAAAAAACCTACCGCAGCTGGTGGTCCTTTCAAACATAAAGCTTTCAGTGCACACAAATCCAGGCATAACATTCTTCAAAAAGTTTATATATCCAAAACGAATACACACTAATAAAAAATACAGAGACCAACAACCCATAAATAAATAAACTGGATTAAAAAACAGATTGAGGAGGATTTGGAGAAAGGAACAGGAAGAGATAATATAGGGTCAGCTGATGTTTTTACCTGGAACTCTCGCACTTTAAATGTGGGACTAAGAATTGCACATTGTAGTGCACAGCCTTTTGCAACACACTCACTGGCATTCATCGTACGACGAGGCTCTTTCCCAAAGAACTCTGTCAAACTCCTGATTACAGCAGGAACACGAGACCCTGAACCAATAACCTCAACGGCATGGATATTCTCAATTGAAAGCTGAGCATCCAGAAGAGCCTTCTCTAGTGGCTCTGTCAAACGCGATAGAAGTGGAGCACTAAGTTGTTCAAATTCCTCTCTCTTGATAAAACCTTTGACATCTTTTTCCTCCATTAAGCACTCTATATTCAGAGGTGCCATTGGATTTGCACTGAGAACCTTCTTCAACTTTTCACAAGCAGCACGAAGCCTCAGGCAAGCCCTTGCATTCTGGAAAACATCAATTCTGTATTCATCCTTGAATTTCGCAGCAAAGTGCTGGAACAGAACTTCATCAAAATCTCTTCCACCCACAGACCGCTCAAATGAGTGGGACAATACCTTCAGCTGGCCTTTCTTGAAACCAACAATACATACTTGCATACTAGCATGCCCAATATCAACAAATGCAACATTCAATTGGTCACTCTCGGGCAAATCTGTTTTATAAATTCCGTATGCCAATGCAGTAGCAGTAGTCTCGTGCATTAATCGAAGAGGACGCAAGCCCGCAATTGTAGCTGCATCCATAACAGCTCTTCTTTGAAGATCAGTAAAATAAACAGGTATCCCAATACAGCAATCGACAACTGCTGCTTTCAGATTCTTCTCCGCAATGCTTTTCAAATTAGATAACACCATCCCCAAAACTTGGGTTGGAGTAAATGTCCTCACTTCTCCTAAGTAGTGTGCATGGATTAGTGGGAACCCATCAGGCCCCTCAGACACAGAATAAGGCAATGTCTTTAGGTCCTGTTGCAGCTCAGGATCCGAAAACTTGAGTCCAATCAACCGCTTAATCTGAGAAATCGTATTTTTTGGATTCATCATACTCGACGCAGCCCCAGCTGTCCCAAGGAACCTCTGCTTCTCACCAAAACATACAATAGTGGGAGTCTCGCGCTTGGACTCATCATTAAGTACAACGTCGATTCCCCTTTGCCTCGCAACGGCAACAACGCCGCTCTCATTACCAAAGTCAAAACCAACAACACTCATCTCTGCAAAAAATGTCTTGCTTTCACGCACACACAATCACTGTATTCCCGCCAGATGAATCACAACCTGAACAATTACAAATTAAACCACATTAAATCGATTGCAATGATAACCCACTAACAGGCCACTAATATATAATCTGGGAAGCCTATACATGAAAACCATATTAAATGTTCTAAAAAACCACTACGTAATCCAATGAAACTATATTCCCAAAACTAATCTAGATTACAATTAGAAAATTTCCAAACCCACTGCAACCACGGAAAACTCTCTATCAACAACAATCAATGCAAACACATCGACAATAATCAAATTTGCATTAGACATATAACAAATCAGCTTATCAGTGAATGCATTCTTTTCCAGGTTCGGTAGAACAATAATGTGAACCAATTATACGCATTTGCTCACAAATCACCAGTATTGATTTGGGATATTGAATACCACTCCTCATTTACCAATAAAGGCCAATCATTTTCCCTCAAACGACTTCATCAACTCCGACCAAACACCAACCGGATACAACTTGAACAATTTCAACGCAATATTAGATCCGGCTAAAAAAAACATCAACCTCGACAAACATGATTTCAATGTTATTTTGATACAAAGAAACCTATTATCCACGAATCCATAGATACCAAACTAATCCACGATCAATTCAAAGTATTAAATACATGACACATAAACAACTAAACCATGAACCTCAAGAAAATGAGCCAATGGAAAGAATCTAAATAGAAAAAATAACAGATCTAAGAGTTCTATATAGAGAAAGGTAGACTTTGAGATCGCACCTCACGACGGAGGATCGCGTGTGCCACGGCGTAGGAGATGCTGCCTGAATTCTCCAAACGTTCTGGTGGTGTCGTGAAGAGAGATAGAGAGAGAGAGAGTATTATTTTGTGAACGAAAAGTACCGAAGAGAGGGAGAGGGGAAGAGAGAGGTTTAAAAGGGTGCAGAGATTAAAGAAGGGTTTTTATGGAATTTTGGGTCATTATAAGTTGTCTAAGGGATCCTCGATTTGTCTAGAGATACTGATCCTTCTAGAATGATCTTCTCGGTACTTGCTAGGTCTTTTTACGATTTCTTCAACTGGGCTGATAATGGGTCTACAGTGATGGGCCAAATACGAGCCGGTTTGAGCCCAAATTTTTCATCAATAATGTCTTTTGGCCCGGGCATGTTGGTCACTTTGGCCCGGAAAGTTTAACTTCACCAATACGAGGCATTAATCTTATTTTGTGTAACATGATACAAAAAACGATACTAAAATTAGGAAGTTTAGGACCTTTTTAAGCCGTTTTGAGTGGACTTAACGCAACAAATTTAATAAACGAAAAGTTCTTAAAGTTTCGAGGCATATAAAAGAACATATAGGTAATCGTACGCCTCACTACAATCGTTTAAATAATTACGATTTTAGAATTTTAAGGTTAGACGTGTTTGAATTTTAAGTCCACCTAACTTTTGGCACGTCCGCAATCTGAAAATATGCCAAATAATATTCACCATTAGAATAATTATAATCTATCTATACTATTACTAAAAGTATCTTAAATAAAAAACTTTTGAATTTCTATTTTACCTTTATAAAATATTGTAAATATCACTCCATCATTTCATAATTAAATATCTAAATTACTATCATATCTTTATATATTTAAATCTCCAAAATAACTATAACATCTATTTTAATTATTTATTCTCTATGTATAAATATTTATTTTTTGATTAACTATATTACTCTTAAAAAATATATGCATCATTATATTTTCAATAAATTGTTCCAAAAAACTTCAAAAACTCTATTTTTTAATACTACTCATCATCTTATATATATATATATATATATATATATATATTATTTTTCATCAAAAAGTTGAACCCTTTCATTTTTAAGATAAAAAATAATTATATATATAGTTTTTTTTAAATCAATTTATGTTATATCAAATATAATTCTTCGGTCACAATAAATTTTAGGATAAATTATACTGACACTCATGTAGATTGGTCTAATTATAAAAACATCCCCTCAGTTTTCTAAAAGTACACTGATACCTCGTGTCAGGTCTTGTTCGTTAACAAATATAACAAAAAATGCGATTTTTCATAATTATCTTTACCATACATCATTTTGTTACTTATCATTCTCTCATATGTTTAAATATTAATAAATAGGTCATTTTCGAGTTCAACCCGTCAAACTTGAAATTGACACAATCAACCCCGATTTATTTAATCGTGTCGATTTTCCTCTATTTTTTCGTTTGTACGTTAACATGAACAACACGGAATTACAATGATCCATATGTTTAACTAATATTATAAAAATAACTATTAATTATTTGTTGTTGTTTTATTAAGTACTAACATAATTATTGTATAAAAAATATATTTTTACTCATTATTATTGCTATATTTACTAAATTAATTTTTAGTTTATAGATAAAGTATGAAAATTAATTCAATTAAGTAATAATAGAACCTTAGACTTAAATCTTAACATTCATTTTTTTTATTTAAAGTTTATATGAGTCAACACGAATACGAACACATCTGCACAGGTAGCCCAACGGTGTAGAGTTGAATCCAAACAAATCGTAGACCTAAACGTTAGGGGTTTAACTATCGCTGATGTGTCTTGGACTTAACTTATACCTGTGGTTTACTGGTAATTGTAGGTATTCGGGGATTTGCTCTCGCAAGAATGGGTTAAAAGTTGTCTTATCTTTGAGAGGTTCCACGATATAAAAAATAAAATATTAATGTGAACACGAACATGATATGAAAATAAATAGGTTAGCCTAATTTTATCTAAGGGTAATAACAATACTAACCATAGGGCTACTTTGTGAAATGGGTAGGTAAACAACAAGGGACGTTAGCATAATTTTTAAAAATTGAGGGGTGTCTCTATAATTAGACCAATCTACAGAGATGTCAGTATACCTTATCCTAAACTTTATAAGTTGTATTGAGATTTTTTTTATAAAAATAAATATTGTAGTGTATTTTTAAGTGAAACTTGAATTCTTTATAATTTTAAGATATTTGATAAAATAAATTGTAGAATAGTATATTAAATCTTATTTTAATCAACCTAACTTTTTTTTAATTGCAGAAATATTTCAATGTGATTAGTATATTAACAATTACTTTTATTTTATTCAATTAATTATAATTAAAATCTTAATCAAATGAATTTCAAGAATTTTAATTTTTCAAACATTACTAAAAAAATTAATCTTAATCACAAAATTCTAAAAATATAGGACTTTAATTATTATTTTTTTTAGTTAGAACAAAGAATTTTGGAAATATATTAAATTTTCATAATCTTATAATAGAAGCAATAAAAAAGTTAAAATTTGTAAATTTAAGATGATATTTAATTAAGATACATATATACCTAATATATTTTATTAATTTTTGTGCACAAAAATTATTCATGTGCAACGCACGTAATGCATTCTTAGTACACATTAAACGCGAATAATAATCAACCATGAGCACCTAACTCCCATTTTCATCATACTTAAATGTTAATATCACTATTATCCTTCATTTTTTTAATTAATTACATTTAACTACTTAAAAATTTTCATTTTATAATTTAGAATTATTTATTCCAATCTATTTTCACTTTAATATCGTTCTCTTCGTGGTTATCTACACAAGGTACGTGCATGACTTAATAATTCTAATTGTTATCGAATATTGAAATTGTAACATATATTCCATTTCATTTTCCCCTTCATTCTATACATACTTTCATTCAATTAGTATGTAAAAATCTTGTCATGTACCAAATACAACTTTAAAGGGTCATATAAACCCGGTTCACAATTCTATGACCCACGAGGGCAGTCAAACTGGAAAACGGCATCGTATTGCAACGCCCGAAAACATCAAGGATGGCGGGAAAAAACAGACGTACGCGCTACAAGAAGGCACAGTAGTTCTAGGGTTTGTGACGAGCCAACAAATCTTCCTCCGTAAACAAGTTCCTTCAGAGAAATGCCGACATACAAGATCAAGGGAATCGATGTGGAGTTCCCTTTCGAAGCTTACGATTGCCAGATAGCTTACATGGAAAAAGTCATCCAATCTCTACAAAACGTATCTTTCATTTATTTATTTATTTTCCCACTTTATTTTTATTATATTTAGTTAAAATGCTGGTTTTTCGTTTACCATTGCCCTCCATTTTGATTTGTTGCACTCGAAATGAATTCACAGCCATATAGGTGGGCCGGCTTAAGTTGTCTCGTTTTTTTTTTCCCCTGTTGGGTACTAATTTTTTGGGCATGTGCTGAAAAAGCAGTTCTTTATGTTTTTGACTACATCATTATCCAAGGAAAATATTGTGGTTTATGGGTAGTACTCAGTATCAAAAGTCGTGAAGTTCCGTTTATCTTGATCTGGGAGTGGAATTGAGAATCCCAATAAGTTGTTTTGGATGATAGCACTATGAATTGAATGGATTGATTTATGGGTGATCTTAATTTGGACACTCAGAAAGAGAAATTTTTGATTTTGTATTAGATTGTTTAAGCTACACTGATTTGATGCTATAATTTATCTTTGAATGTTCAATAGAGTGTGCTGGCATTACTGTGCTGTATGATGTATGTTCAATTTGTAGAATTAAATTTCAGGATTCAATTGAGAGTGCTTGTATGTTGTTTCATGGGATATTCTTTAAAAGCATCCGTTTTTAGACGATGAATCTGCAATTCTCTGCAAGTGTTACTACATTACTCTTCTTATTTGCAGCAATGGCGCTGCCATAATGTACCTGCTTTCTCATGTGGCTTTTAGCTCCATAAGGAGAAACTCATCTACAATGCATACCATCCCTTGGATGAGTGAGTCTCACTAAAAAAGTTGATGACGAAGATATGCATTTGGGTTACAACATATTGGGTTCCATTTGGATTGTGTATCATTACTAAAAAATAAAGCACAGTTTCATTTATAACTGTCTACAAATTTCTATGAAGGCATTATGCAACCAAACTTTATGTCATCTTGCACTGTATCATTGTTGGTCATGACCTGACACAATAAGAAACACAAGGTTCTATTTTAATGCTTTGGCCTATTTTTTTTTTTTTTTTGTGGCCGTACATCGTTAGGGTCATTGCTATTAATATCTAACTATGCCTTGTGCACACATGTTTATGAAATGGCAGAGATGTAACGCGCTATTGGAGAGTCCTACTGGAACTGGAAAAACTTTGTGTCTCCTTTGTGCCACATTGGCTTGGAGGCATAGTTTGGACCAAAGGGGTGGTCGTAACGTGGGAGGCAAGCATTCAGATGATTCGTCATCACAGTCTGAATCCTCAAAACTACCCACTATTGTATACACAACTCGTACGCACAGTCAGCTTCGACAAGTTATTCAAGAATTCAAAAGAACCAGTTACAGGTCAGGATAGATTGAGTTGATCATGGCATGTTTTGCATTTGAAATTCGCTATCGGTGTAAGCCTCAATATTACTGTGATGCAGGGTGGAAAAATGCTCCATTCAAGCAATATGATTGTTAGATACTCATAATTAATGCATTAATGTTTGAACAAATTACAATGGCACCTCTTGTAGATTAGTATAATTATAAGGACACCCTTTCGATTATCATAATATCACTGACTTTCCTTGTAGTTTATGTATCAATTTCACATAATACCCCTGCCTTTATTACCATTACTAATAAGAGAAAGTGATTACATTGGCATACATTATCTATTATGTACCAAAATTACCCTCCGACCAAATTAGGTTAAGTTATTTCGACACTCAAACATACCTTATTTTTCAATTGGGATAAAATCCCACCCACATCCAAACAGCCCCCACACATTACTATTCTCCTCTCCCTAAATTGCAACCCAAAGTCTAGAATCCTCAACCTTTTTTTGTTCGATAAGAAACAACAATATTATTAATAATTGATGCAAAAATTGGTACAAGAACCAATCAAACTTGGACAAGTTGTCCAACCTAATGATTGTAAAACATGGTAAAAAATAGCGGGGAACTAGAAAAACTAGAAAAATTGAGGCGAAAAACTAGAAAAACAAGAAACTAGACTAGAGCCCTGATGAGGATCGTGTAGGAATTGGATAGATTAATTATGATAGTTATTTAGATAATTTTAATATTTAATCTACATCAAGCCCCTAACCTCACACTGCCATGGCAATCCCAAGCCCAATACCCCTGCCCCTAGCATTACCATGGCAACCCCAACCTTGCACCACAACACCCAACCTTCTTCGCTTCATTTCAACCTCGGATGTGCAGGTACAGGACCACCATCAGTCACATATCCCCTACCTGACCACCCGCAAGAAAACTACAACTGCCCTCACCCCACCCTTCCCTTCACCCATCTTCAATCTTGGTCGTGCAGCTTTTGGGCCGCAACATCACCCATCCCCACCACTTGGCCAGTTCGCCAACCAATTGTCCATCACCTCCATCTCCAATTTCCCATCAAGTGCCCTAGCCAAAATTCGTGCATCTCTATTTCAAGTACCACACCATGCACCTCTACTAGAAAACACCACCATTGTTCACCTCTATCTCCTCCAACCCTCTCTTTGGCACATGCCATAAACACACAACCAAACACAACCCAAAACCTATACAAAGGCCATACCCATCCAAATTCAACAAATCATCAAGAGAGCAATTCAACCAAAATAATCAAAATTCAACCCCGAAATTAAACCAATACGCCACAATTGAAATGGAAAATCTAAAAAATTCAACATCGATTCGATAGCAAATTCAATGTTGTTGGGTTGTGAAGAGCCAATTTCGGCAGTGTGTGATATAGAATAAGTTGCGGTGGTGGCATCGGTCATCCAGCGAACAAACCCAAGTTGTTGTTGAAGAGAAAGTCATGGCCAAGTTAAATGATGATGAAATAGAGAGAAGGTTGGTTGAGGAGGGGGTGTGGACCGGTTTATGGTGACCGTCAATGGAGTGGGTTATGCACATGGATGTTTCATCTCTTAAAGCTTTAGGCATAATAAATCGTGGGATCTTGGATTAAAGCTTCAGAGACTTGGTTTTTGATGGAGACAGAGAGATAGAGAGGTGGACAATGATGTTCTTAATGATGGCCGCAAGGCCCCAACAACTATTGTTGTGGGTAGAGAGAGGGGTGTGGGTTGGTGGGGGTAATACCCTTGGGTTATTGTATAGAAAGACAAGTTTATTAATTATATAATATAAAGGTATTAAAATATAAATAAAGGTAAATAAGCAAAACTAGGTTTTTGTCAAGGTTAAATCGATAAAAGCATAATTTCTGTTGAATCAATTACCGACAAAAACTGATTGGGGTTGTCAGTGATATTTTGGATAATTGAGGGGGTGTCCTTGTAATTATACTAATTTACAAGGGTTGTAATGTTTTGATTTGTATTCTGACGCATCTATACTTTTGAGCCGGAGAGTGGACAAATTCTAGTTTTTTGGGTTAATTTTTCTTAATTTTTTCCTATGTCCTAGTTTAATTTTTTCTTTTGATTCCGCAAAACATGTGATGGACTGATTTGAATTGTTCTTTTTTTGATATTTTTTCATTGATTTAATTATAAGAGCTGCAGGACACCTAGACTGAATTGGACCACAATTTCCCCATTTATGGAACTCCTACACAGAATAACAGGATCTCTATGAATGGATATCAACTAGGAATCTCATTTTAACATGATCCGCTTTCTTAGGTTGTGCTGATGTCAACAATGTGACCAATAATAAGATAATTGATTGATGGGGATTTTGCTGCATAAGATGATACAGAAGGTGCTTGATTTCAGGGAAAAAAAATGCAGTAGTATATTAAGTATGGGAGGCATAAATTTTCAGAATTGCAGTTTTCTTCACCAATCAATTGTTTTGTTGATTTGATTGTATGTCACTGAGGAAGCTAAATAAAAAGTAATTCACACTATGTTTGGATTCTATAGTGTTACGGCTGAATTTTGTAGTAGTTCTGCCACATGAGAATCAAGGGCTTGTATTAATGATTTTGGGGCATGGGCAATTACTTATTTCTTTGCTTAACTGCCCATTTGGGATTGTCATGGCGGAGTATGTTCTTGCCAATTCAATTCATAATGTCTTATTCAGTCATAACTTCTTTTTAAGATGTAATTTGGCGTGATTTTTCCTTTCTAGCAAAACATTCTATGTTTGCTTCTGCTTTTTAAGTTGGAGATGAAATTTCCCACATGAGGGTTCGTGCCATTGGCTGAGAGGCCCCTATACTCTTCGACTTCCATGGCAAACTTCTTCCACTCCTACTATTTTTCTCTCTACATATAAAATTTTTATATTCCTCCTTGTGAACTAAAAAAGAGTGCATCCCCGTTCCAAGCACCCCTAAATGAATTGGTCTAATTAGTCTGTGTTGTTAGAGTTTTTTTTTCATGATGCTTTAATTGATGTTTAGATTCACAATAACCTAAACAAGCTTGTATTAGATAAAATGCAGGCTTAAAATGGTAGTATTAGGATCTCGAGAGCAACTATGCATTCATGAAGAAGTGAGTCAACTTCATGGAAAAACACAGACAAATGCCTGCCACACCCTCCGTAAAAAGAGCAAAAAGCGCTATTGTGCCCATTACCCTCGTGTTACAGGTAAATGTTCTGTTTTGCCTTTCTGGTTGCACTTGTATTTTTCATTATATTCGTGGTTTTCCTTCCCTTGAATCATATTGCATGCTCTGTTAATTGGCATGGCTGCTTTGATTTGTTGTCCTTGAATGTCATTTGGACAGCCAAAATTGAGAGATAACCTTTTTGATACCACAAAGTAATACATTACTGAGATTTATCTGAACTACTGTATTATATTTGGCTCATAGTTCCCTGTATGCTGCTCACAGTTCCCAGACTTGCCACGCTGAATATGGTATTCCAGTAGGCTGCGTTTATATCTGCGTTATACTTGCCACACTGAATATGCAATCATTGAACTTTGTATGATCAATTAATCTTTAGTTTGGATCAGTTGTATTGCAATGAGTAATTGTTTTTTCCTGTTTTGCATTCATTTTCTGACTTGCGCCAATTCCAACGTGAATATTTGTGGGAAGTTGTACAGGGATGGGATAATGAGGCGTGTAATGCTGATTGAATAAAAGGATGCGGTTTTCATGATTATGGGTTTATAATTAAATCTTATTGATATGATGTTAATGAAAATCATGATGTTTTGCAGATTAGAAAGATCTTGACTCAAATATGCAAATTTTTATGGATTAGAAAGCTCTTGATGACCTACTCTATTCGGGTCTTACTGACTAAAAAAAGATGTACTCTACCCCCGATGTGGCTGTATCCTTTGATGATTGTGGTGTACCATGTATACATTAGAAAAAGATCTGATTGGATACATGTTTGCATTTTTCCTTTGCAGAATTCATGAAAAAAAATCCTGGTCTTGGAGATGAACCTTTTGACATAGAGGACTTGGTCAACATTGGAAGAAGTTGTGGACCGTAGGTTTTTAAATTAATTTCGTCACTTTTTAACTCTAAGTTAAGCTTTAATTATACTTATGGTTTTTGACATTCATACTTGCAGGTGCCCTTATTATGTGTCACGAGAGCTCCACAAGGTTGTTGATATCCTCTTTGCACCTTATAATTATCTTATTGACCGTGGGTACAGAAAATCTCTTAGCATCGAGTGGAACAACTGTGTACTAATATTTGATGAGGCTCACAACTTGGTAAATAGAATGGGTTTGACTTTTCTGGTATCTTGGTTTTTGTTGTGTTCCATTTTTTAATTTTCTGCTCTTCCACCCTAAGCTTTTTCTGATGCATGAGATCAGAAACTCATCTTTGAAAGTCATGCATTTCTTATAGTATTCATTTTCTATTTCATCGGTTTGGCTAGTGACAACAGGAAAATTTGGCATATTTTAAAAAATGCAGGAAAGCTTATGTGCTGATGCAGCATCTTTTGACCTGACTTCTGGACTTCTGACAGCTTGCATTTCTGAAGCACAAACTTGTGCAGATCTTTGTATCGAGAGAAGGGAGAAATCGAATGACAAATCATGTAATCCAGATAATTTTGCTATTCTCAGAGGTAGGTTGAGTTGTTTGGTTCTTTTCTGTATTTTCATGATTCATGAGGCTTATTCACTGCTCTGTGAAATTAATTCTCTGTGAAATTTGTTATGCTGTAACTTGGATTATTGAAACAACTTTGTACTGAATGGTACGATGTTCAAGCTGACCTACCGAAATGGGCCTGTCATTCTTCTGAACAATTCATTATAGCAAGCACTTAAATATCTTTCCATTGGCTTACTGCTTTCTAATTCCTCAATATAAGTTGGCTGTTCCTAGTTTTCATTTTGTTTATCTTTGTTGGCAGTCATTTATATGTACAAGCTAATCATACATTTTTTGCAGCTCTTCTTTTGAAGCTTGAGAAGCGGATTGCTGAAATGCCTATTGAATCGAAAGAATTGGGTTTTACCAAGCCTGGGCCCTACATTTATGAATTACTTGCTGATCTAAATGTCACACGTAAAACTGCCTCCATGCTCATTGATATAATAGAGGAAGCTACTTTACTTCTTGAAGAAGGTAAGTTAAGCAGCAATTGCTTCATACTCATGATGTCACTACCATCCAGGTTGAAATTATTTTGAAGTTACTTTTATGATGTTAGAACATAGTGTTTTTTAGAGGAATGCTATCGAATGTGGTCTCCTATCTCATATACAGATTTTTGTGATATAAGTTTGCTGAAGAGGGAGCAATCCCAAAAAAATGAAGTACAGAGGAGGGATTTTTATTCTGAAATATAATTTGTTTTTTTATTGTCAGCATTTTGTATCACTGAACAAATGGATGTATGTGATTGGTTCCTTCTTTTTGGAAGTATCATTAACAAATATATAATTAAGAACAAGTACATGTGGCATTGATACAAAACGGTGAAGAGAAACTGGTGGTATTTACCATCGATCTGTTCTAATATAGGATTGTTGTAAGTTGAGCTTTTCTTTCATTTTTTGTTATTTCAGATTCAGATGTTACTGTTAGTGGAGTGTCACACAAGTCAAAGGGAACTGTCTGCAGGCTGGAAAGCATGGGCGACATTCTTAAATTAATTTTCAAAGATGGCGATGTCTCTCATGCCAAATACTATCAGGTAAGTTTGGAGAACATTACATTCCATCAGTCTTACATTTTGGTGCACTGCATGTGTAATTCACGTTGAAACTTCAGAGCTGCTGCTGTTTCCATACTCGCTTTTATTTTGCAATAACAGGCTACTTCTCTGACTTGAGTGCTGTCACTGTTGATTTAAGGTTCATGTTCAGGAAGCTGAAGCAAGAGCTCCAGATGTCTTTAAAGGTAGTCTAGAGACTTTACTTTCTGCTTCCCCTAGGGTTGACGAACTTGTTTGTTGTGCTCGATAGCGACTGACCTTTAGAGGTTGAAGAACTTTCATTTCTTTTGCTCGATGGGCTCAAAACTTTATAATGCTGTAGCATATTGATTCCCCTCTTTTTTTTTTCAAACTCTCAGTCCATCACACGTCTTACCATGTATAATTTTTAAAGAGATACTTCTTGCCTCATCAATCTTATAGTGAATGATAACTTTCTTTCAATCTAGCATACTACAATAAAAGAACCAGAGCTATGTTGAACAGCAATGACAATCAACATAATTTATCCAAAACATCTACCCATTTTTTCTGCAATTATCTAGATAAAGCAATTATCAAATGGCTGAAATGTTATATTGTTTTAAGTTATGATATTGAACAAGAAACACATGACAAAACCTATTACCAACCTGAGCCAGGTTCCAGAAATCAAATAGTATTATCATATTAGAAGTAGATTAATGCATTTCAATTGCAACATCTATCCTAGACAGATAAAGTGCGTACATGAGAACTGCTGTCTTTTCTATTTCTCAAAATTTTGAGGAAGAGTTATCGTAATTGCCACTCTTAGAAAAGATGACCAGTTGTCTCTTCAAATATTTTGATTGTAGATATGCCTTTAACATTTTATGATGTACTTCAAAACATCTATGTCTGTCAATTGTGTTTCCAGTCATTTATATATAATTCTAAACGCAAGCGCCCACTGAAGTGTATAATCCATTTTTTTTAACTTTTTATATGCATTAATTGGTGTATAGTAAGACATACTGTCATACTCCAATCAGCTTTGATTTGATCTGGAATATTATTAAAAAACACTAATAAATTATGTGCTAGCCCTGTAGACTAGTGCAGTCTTTAGTTGTGGACATGCATCCAGTGCTATTGGGTTTTATACATTTCACTGGTTTGGGTTGTGAAGCGAAAACGTCTAGAACACTCAGCTGGTGGTGTTTTAATCCTGGAATTGCTATGGAAGAATTTCCGAAGTTGGGTGTTGGATCTATCATCTTGACATCTGGCACTTTGTCTCCTATGGATTCATTTGCTGAGGAATTGAAGTTGTAAGTCATTGCTATGCATATTGTTTCCTCCTAGCACTTTGTCCTGTCATGACTTCTAAAATTGCTTTTTTTTTTTTGCTTTCTTGAAACCCAATATAGAGAGTTTCCTGTTCGTTTGGAGAACCCTCACGTTATAGCAGGAGATCAGATATGGGCTGGAGTTGTACCAATAGGTCCATCTGGTTTCCCTCTCAATTCTTCTTATCGGAGCCGTGATTCTTTAGAATACAAGCTAGAACTTGGCAATGCTATCGGTATGTATTGTATAATTTCTCATAAGCATTTTAATACAACTCTTTGTTTTCAAGTGTGGGGAAGGTGGGAGTGGGCGTAGACAACTTCTTTCATGTAGGAAAGATATGTGACTCTTGATCTTGTTTTTCAATGGAGTCATGGAGGAATGTCTTGCTTTTCATTGTGTTTATTGAAGTTGGATTTCAAGAGGGTGGATTCAATTTTTTTTTTTCGCCTTGTATGGTTATATCTAAACCAGTAGCTTTGCTGTTAGAGATTAGTGTTTGATGAATTTTTGTTTTCTTGAATTTCTTGTTCAGTAAATTTTGCTCGAATAGTACCAGATGGACTGCTAGTATTTTTTCCATCTTATTACCTTTTGGACCAATGTATTGGGTGCTGGAAGGATATGGTAAGGCATCTAACAAATGAAAATGAAGAGTTGAGATCTGTTTAGTTGATTGTTTGACTGACTATGCTCCATATTTTGTAGAGTCATGATTACCCAACAAATTTCAGCACTATCTGGGAAAGAATCTGCAAACATAAGCAACCTGTTGTTGAACCTAGGCAATCTTCTGTTTTTCGTTTGTCAATTGATGTAAGAAAATTAACTGCCTATGCAATCAACATTTTTTTAATACTCTATTCTATATTCTTTCTTCACACACGTAATCCTGCTTGATCTGTTCATGGACAGGACTATATGGCAAAGTTGAAGGACACCTCAATGTCTGGTGCTGTGTTTTTTGCAGTTTGTCGTGGTAAGGTATGGTTTCACCCTGAAATTTAAGGGACAGTTTCTTGTTTATAGTTGCAGATTTTTATTTGTATTGCTGGATTTATGAAACTTGTGTGTGATTGATTGGAAATGATTTATGGTTCCCCAAACATGCCTTTGAGAGCCTCCAATGCATGGCTGTAAGATGTGCTAAACAACTGATCCATGTGAACTCAATCCCCATTAGTGTCACTGTTACATCAATTTTTTGCCTGATGTTTCATTTCAGAAGTGAGTATATTTCATTTATAGGTCTCTAGTTTGTTGCTATTGCGATGGTAACATGAGTGCATGAAAGGATCTGATTCTGTACAAAATGCTAGAAGTGTCCAGCAGCAAGGATTTAGCCATCAATGTTACCTTAAGTTGTCACTGAATTGAAGTGATCAAGTCAATGTGCTCATGATCACTGGCAAAAAAGTTGCAGGAGAAGGTGTCTGTCATTTTTGTAGTCAGTCAACTGCTGGATTTTGAACGAATTTAATAAATTCATGGTTGGGCAATTTTTTTTCCCTGAATGCCAATCTCCTTGTCAAAGCAGTACATCGCTTGTGTAAACAAGACTTCAGAGTCCTCTTCATCCTACGATGATAAAACTTTGCAGTGATGTAGATGATTTTGTCAACCATATCCTACGTACGATCACTTTATTTACATTTGATCACGAATGCTAAGGGAGTTTATAGTTATGATGCAGTACATTTCTCCAGAATGGTTTTAACATCTCTGAAATTTTAGTGTTTGGGGTTGCATTTCTACTACTTGTTTTGTCTAAACCTCTTTCAATGCCACTCAAGACCTAAGCTGCTGCAATGTTTATTCTTTTCTAATGTCTAAGGTGGCCAACTTGACCATGATTGATTGCCATTTTTATGTTAGGTAAGTGAAGGACTTGATTTTGCTGACCATGCTGGGAGAGCTGTGGTCATCACTGGTATGCCGTTTGCCACAAGGACAGACCCCAAGGTTCGATTGTCTTGTCTTTTTTTCTCAAGTTTGTGTCCATTCTGTGATTTTGCAGTTTTCACTTTAGCAGTTCTCAGAAGATCTCTCTTGATGACAAATGAGGCATTCAAATTAGTGATTTTGTGACGTATTTACACCTCACTTTGTTGATGTTTCTGTTCCTGAAGATAATGTTTTAACTGTTTATCATTAAACAATTTGATGATGTTAAAGAAATGAAATTTGTGTCTGACCTTGTTATTCGATGCTGTCTTTGAGTTAACTATGGTGATTCCCTCGTTCTTTGTTTGCTTTTGGTATATATGATTGTGGTAAGTATATTAGCAGTTTTCACTGTTATCCTAATGCTATTTCATTTCCATTTAAGGAGAAAATACAAGTTTAAGTTTACTGCAATTTAAGTATTGCTGTCTAAATTAATTTACACTAGGCATGCGCTTCTTGAGATCTTGTTTCTTATTTCATCCCCTGGTCACATACATATCAACGACCCAAAAGAAAAAAACCACATACATAATGTTTGCATTGCAATTTTTGTATATGATTCTTCTTTTATTATTTTTTAGAATTGAAATCATGCTCATTTATGGTTTTTTGTGACAGGTTCGCCTGAAACGTGAATACTTGGATCAACAGGCACGGTCACAGCAGATAGGCAGTAAGGTAGTGTTGATACTGCCCGACCCGTGGAAAACATAAGTTTTCTGTAATCTGTTTTCTATATTATTTAGCAATTTCCCTCCACTTGACAATGAGGTTACAGGTTTTGGTTGGAGAAGAGTGGTATAGTCAACAAGCATTACGGGCAGTGAATCAGGCTGTTGGTCGTGTCATTCGTCATCGCCACGATTATGGGGCAATAATTTTTTGTGACGACAGGTTTGTTGTAATTACTTTGCTTTTGTTAGCAGCATTCATAAGTGCTCAAAGCAATCTTGCTTAGCTGATGTTCAATATCGTTTTAATTGAATACACCTAGCAGCAACTTTAAGTTTTTGTCAGTCCTATCTGGCAGTTCCAAAATCATGGTTTTATTCTTCCATAAGCTTCAAGGGAATAATTCTTACAACCGCTCTTCAAATTCAACTAAGGTGCAAGGAACATTGCAAGAATAAACTCAGTTGAGCATTAACCTTCCATGAACTCTTATAATGTCACTCTTTTGGAAAATTTATTACCATTTAAATGGTTAGCTCTTTTTCAAACATAGTAAGACTCCTTTTTTGGCTTGTTAGATGGGTCATTATGACTTGTATCTTAAAATGAAATGAATTTACAATGTTCTAGTCTAGCATTTAATGCTCATCAATGTGGTGACGTTGATTATTGTGTTCCCCTCATTCAACCAGTATACTTGAGTATGAGATATTCTACATTGTCAAGCATGGTATTTTATTCTAGTTTTTGCCTGACTCCTATGTCATATATAGGTTTACACATTCAAATCGTCAGTCAAAAATATCACTTTGGATACAGCCTCACATGAAGGTGCATTTTGTTTGTTTGAGATTGAAGCTCCCCTTCTTTCTTTGTCCAAAGAGTAAAAGAGCCTCCAAATTTACACATTGTTGACCTTGCAGTGTTACTCCAAATTTGGGGATGTAGTTTTCTCATTGACCCGGTTTTTTCGAGATGGAGCTGCTCGAGGACCTACGAAGAAGGAACTAGCACGAACTGAAGATTGGGGTTAAGTATCTTTTAGCTAAATACTACCAATATTGTTCCTTCTAAAATTTTGTTTTCTATGTTTATATGCATTTACTCTTAACATACACAGGGGGCGCATTCGACTATATCCTGGCAACTTTAGTTGTGAATATGAACTTCTTGCATATCCGTTTTAAGTCCATTTGTCTGCTTTCAATGCTGTTCACTAGATATTGAGAGAAGAGAACATCATTTTGGTACGGTTAAGACAATAATCCCTCTCCCTACCTCTTTTATGTGGATAACCTTTTCCTCCGCATTCAAGCCCCCCCCCCCTTTTCCCCTCCCAAAAAAAAAAAAAATATCACCCAGCTTCATAACCAAAAACTGTCCCGTAGTTCCATATTAAGGATGATCCTGGTGCAGATTTTTTAACAAGTTCACCAAAAAAGGCAGTTTGAAAAGGACGCGCCTAATGGTTTACACCATTTTGCAGGCAACTTATATGGGTTGGAAACCATCCAACCTGTGAACAAACTTCATATTGAAAAGTTCATCGCGCCTCTGGTAACTGTTTGATTCTTTTCCAAGTGCATCCTCCTCTTACTCTACTGAAGATTTCCTGCTATTTTTAGTTTTATGAACTATTTCATCACTCATACTTGGGGGTTGTTGTATTTGCAGACCAGAGCAATGGATCCAGCGTGCTCCAATAAATTATTATCTTCTAAGGATAGAGCTAAACGACACATCTTTGGCCATGTGGGAGAAATACTTCCTGCTAACCGCTCATTTCTGACCTCTGACAAGCAAAATCAGAATTTGACCTTGAAACACTCTAGTGATCTGCTTACCCATGAGAAAAAACTCTTGATTCCTGGGACAAAAAATCTGCCACATAGCAATCATGAAATAGTTGATTTGACCACAGATGCATTGTCGGATAAAAGAACATGCGAAGAAGTGATTGCACCTTGTTCCTGGAAGAAAGCAAGATTCGGACAAGTAGGGATGGGTGTAATGCTGCATTGTGAAAACTCTCCAGAGCATTCACCAGTTGACCGAAAAGCACAATCAAGTGTTCCTTTTTTCATTAATGAATCAGTAAAAGTAAAACATGAGGATACACAGGTGTTCGAGCATGGAAACATACAAAATGCTCATGGCGTGCTGTCTAACTCTGTACCTCACTGTGATGAGGAAAAAAAGGGATCTTCTTTTCTGATCCAGGTGAAGTAGTCTGACATTTTTCTGTTGCATCCTCTATCTTCCCACTTTTCTACATGTCTTCAGTACTTTCAGTTGTGCTAGAACCTCCCTTGCTTCCATTGTAAAGGAAATAGGGTCCATATATTCTTTCATGATATCATGGGACCTGCAGAAAGGAAATTGATATGGATGGCTGTTTCGGACAATTATTAGGGGTACTAAGGTGTATCCTTAATATAAGATGAATTTTGACTCCACTGTCTTTCCTGAAACTTTCTTACTGTGTAGCATCATCCATTTCCTCTCTCTTCTCATCATTGTTGCTTTCTAGAAGTTGCAGATTAGAACTCTTGGTAAATGTTGTTCTAGTTGTGACTGACTTTGCAAAGATGTGAGAACTAATGATCTAACACATTAAATGTTGGGATTTTCTTTCTTAACTATGTACATGTTCAGCTAGTTATTGGGATTTTCTCAGATGGTAATCCCATAATAGTGCCTATATTTACTTTAGTACTGCCGGAATGCCAAAAACTTCAAAATCCTAAGCTGTTAGAGAATGGGTCAACACCCCCTCACGTGTGGCCCCTCTCACATGTGAGGGAGACGTACAACCAAATGCATCAATATGCTTACATAAACATGATCCTGGTGCATTGCCGTGCAGAAACAAAATGGGGGAACACTTCGCCGACATTGAGACTTGAACCCAAGCTGACACTGAGACTTGAACCCAAGGTCTTCATGGAACCATACCTAGGATATTATGTTTCGATTTTTTGGAGAGAGAGAGAGTCAGACAGAAAGTGACTAGCTTACCCTACAAATGGTAGGCCAGATATATGTAACGTTCAAGAAATTATGAGTACCTCTACTAGTGATAACGCTAACAGTCTTGAAGACGATTACTCACATAATATCCTGAAGCTCCTTTCTTGTTTTAGAACTAGCTATCCATAACATATGAGTGGCTGGGATTAGTTTCCCAATGACTTTCTCTTGTTTTTAAAACTATTTCTGATGGGAAATATTAATCTCCTTACAAATAAAATGGCAAAACCCACCATTTCTCACTCATTGTATGAACATGTCTTCTTTCTTTTGCATATCTAGAACTACTTCACAATTTGTGATTACATACCTACAGGTCCAAGAGAAACTTACTGATTTAGAATATAAAGAATTTGTGGGTGCTATGAAGGCTCTGAAGTCTAAAGCAATGAAGATAGGTCACGTTCTCCAAACCATTGCGACCTTATTTTCTGCTCCAGATAGGCTCTCTCTTTTTCAACGGTATAGATTTATCTCTCAGATTAATTTTTTTTTCTCACTGGTTTTGTTTGGTAATAAGACTCGCTGCAGTTCTTTATTCACGGCTACAGTCAATACGTTAACAGGCTAGGTTGATTTTTTCATTTTACTCTAATATAACATTTTGTCTAGCAGAATGATCTGAAATTTGAAATTGTTGACAGTGTGACATGATAATGTAGATGCTTCAGCTTAAATACATTGCACATTCTTCGGTTATGCATTTCAATCTGGCTACTCATCTTCCTTGGATTGTCTATCTCAGCCAACACTTCTGTTCATTTAAAACTTATTCTGCGTACATTTTACTTTATGAAGTGTGTTGTTTGCTGAATCATAGACCCAGGAAGGTGTGTGGAATTCTTAGTTTGCGCCTTTCTTATTACGATACCATTAATTCCTTATGGGTGGTATAAGTGTAACATTTAAGATAATTATCCACTCAATTCAATTGAGGTAGGCCTCATTTCCTTGCCCAAAATCAAAGAAAAGGTAGCCTTTTTTAGTAAGTTGGAAGTGTACGTGAATTATTTTTGTAGCCCTGGGACCACAAGCCGCGCAACCCTGATGTATACCATTAATTCCTTATGGGTGGTGTGGGTATAACATTTAAGATAATTATCCACTCAATTCAATTGAGGCAGGCTTCATTTCCTTGCCCAAAATCGAAGAAAAGGTAGCCTTTTTTAGTAAGTTGGAAGAGTACGTGAATTATTTTGTAGCCCTGGGGGCGCAAGCCGCGCAACCCTGATGTATGTTCCTTCTTGTTGACAAAAGTAGGCTTCTTCTGCACATATTCATTTGTTTCTCCTTGTCCATCTTGCACAGGTGCAACCAAATGGTCATAACCTCAGATGACAAAACCATCTACAAATTCTTGTCTCATCCAGTCCTTAATTTGCCCATCCTTCTATTGAGCAGTTCATTTCATGTTACTTTTTTCCCATGCCTTGTTACTTTCTCTATTTGGACATCCCATGTTTTTGTTCTGCTATATGTTATAAGTGGACCGCCTTGTATCCATGCCAAAAAGCATAGCATCTCAGTTTGACAACATGTTTATTGAAATTGCCAGACATGTGAAGTAGTGTCTTCCCCCTGTATTCCTCATAACAGACCTGGACTATTCCAAACACTCATTTCCAAAGCCCAGAGAAAATTTTCACAAGTTGTAATTGCTCAGCTAAAATTGGTAGGATCTGAAAAAGAAGTAAAATTTGAGTTATATTGGCTTGGACCGGTAGGTTGACTAATTGCTTTTAAAGTCATCCAACAGTTTGAAGAACCTTTCCTGTCACTGTAGTCTTTGCAAATGCTTGCTGCCTTCTATGAACCTGTGTTAAAGTAAGTGAGAACTTAATCAATTGTCATCAGAATTCTGTGTTGTATCCTGGAAAAAGAGTAAGTTTACCAGTAACTGCAACCATAAACAAATGGTTGCACTCACTTCATTCTTTCTGTGTGGTACTTCAGATTCAGACTGACTCTTTTTCGGAGAATTTGCATAGAGGAGCATCTAGCCAACAGACATACCTTATTTGATAAAAGGAATACTGCAGAATCTATTGATTTACTGTTTACATTTTCCAAATACCCTTAACCCTACATACTGGTTAAATCTCAACTTGGTTTTAACTTGTTTGGTCAAGGAACTATGTTTATTTAACCTTGTATGTTAATAAGTACACTGTTACCCATTTTAACATAGCCTGTCATCACCACACCTCGTGCATATATCCATAATATCCATTTGATAGATTGGTGGTTAAAATCTCTTTGTTTCATTGGTTTTGACATTTTACACTTTAAGTTGCCCATATTTCTTTAATATTGATTGTTTCCATGTGACACATTTCCTTATTTGCATTCAGTAGTTTTTCTCTATAAATATTTTTGCAGCTTCACAAAGCATCCAAACTCATTCTTCTTCTTGACAGATTCAAGGATTATATCCCTGCGAAGTATCATTCTCTGTATGACCATTATCTTAAAACAAGTGATGATGCAGTTGGCCCTTGAAGTAAGGAATTCTTTCTTAGTTAAGTTTTTACATACTGTATCAGGTTAAATTGTCATGCAGTATATTATATTTATATCATATTATGTTGACAACTCGTTGTGTGAGCTCCTGGTAATAAGAATCTTAGAGACAACATAAATAAGGTCTAAGGGAAATGATACAGTGGTTTAATGAATTTGAGGGGTATACAACTAAACCATAATGACATAGTACATAAATAATGGAACCATAAGAGGCAAGCAATAAACTCAGGCTATGGACATCGTATGGCATGGACACATTGACATGAAAAATCCTAGAAAAAGTAGACACGAACACAACAATTGATGTGCTTTTTTTTTTTCCCTCTATATAAACTGATATCTAGTACATCAGTGAGTATGTAAAAAATGTTTGCTGAGCATGAAGTTACCCATTGATTACCTTCTTGTAAGTAGTACAGGACGCATTATAGATCTAAGGACACTCAACGTCAATGAGAGAATCATGTGATGGCCTTTTGTTTCGGTAGCAGCAGCAGGGTGTTTGATTTTAAGTCACAATGAGTGTAAGAAAGTATGCCTTATTAGACATTAAATCATAGTTGTCAAATTGCGTATCAGAAGACATATCGTTTTTTAAAAATAGTGTATCGTATATATATATATATATATATATATATATATATATATTTGTAAAAAAAACATAGACTCAAAATGATATAACATTTTATTAATATTCCACCAACTATTCAAGTTTCTAACATAGTTCAGTAATATCAAAATGCAAAGACCTTTAATTCAAATTTCTAACATCAACTGCTTAAATAATTTTAATATTAATTATAAATTTTGACCTCAATTGAATAACATTAACAACAAACTTTATTTTATTTTTTTAAACCACAACCATTGAAACGACGTTATTTCACTGGCTAGTAATTTAAAAATAATTCTTAGGATATAAACGATGTCATTTCAGTCCCCCTCCCCCCCCAAAAAAAAAGAATCTTCACGTATCGTATGTATCGTATTGTGTATCGTACGATATGGTGTAAAAACGATATAGAGACGCGATACATATTGTTTTTCAGGTGTACCATGACGTATCATACAATACGTATCGCGTATTGTACAATACTAATAACTATGTATTAAATGACTAAATGGTTCTCTGGTGACACAAGTCTATTGTTTACTTTGGTCAGATTCAATTAGCGATGCAATTTAGTTGGGTTTGGTTCAATTTGGTGTTGACCATAAAACAAACCATGGTAGGTTAGGATCACCTTTTTTGTGAACTAACCAAACGAAAGTAAATTATGTGAAGTTTGAGTTTGTTTGGATTAGGTTCATTTCGGAAGAGTTTGTTGTTTCTTTTCTTTTCTTTTGTTATTTGCTTTCTATTTATATCAGTAGTCAATTGAGAGTGAGGCTAAAGGAAATGTGTGGCTGATGATCAAAACATCGTGTCGAAACGGTTGAAACGTCCGAAGCGTTTTTGTTTTTAAGGAGACCGAAACGAATCATTGATTGAATTGAAATTCCAGTACTTCGAGATATTTTGAAATGTTGAGTTTTTTTTTGAGATGTTTCAATATGTTTTTACTAATGTTTTGGAATGTTTCGAGATGTTTCAAGATCTTTAAGTATATTTAGACCAATAATTTTAAATGTTTTGAAAATAAATTCCTAAATTTTTTGATAGAGAATAAACATTCAATTGTTTGATTATTATGTAAAACCTCTACTATATTTAGCATAATAATTGAAAAAAGTTTCCTCAGTGTTACGGACCCATATTTTTATGTCAATAGCTTTTTGTAATGAGCCATGTGTCAGTAGCGCTTCACTCCCCTATGGCTCAAAAAAACCGCATAACCTAAATATGGTTGGGGACTAATCTGAATAATGAACGCTGTTAGTGGAATTGACATAATGACTTCAATACCCCTTAATCGATGTCTCAAGGTTGCTTGTTTTCCACCTCTTGCTCCCCATTTACAATGCTCAAAACTAAACATAAATTCAATCAAAATTTTGAAGCACTCATTGGTTTTGATTTTGTGTCCATTTGCTTAACTTGTTCCAAGGTGAAGTGTGAAACATGAAGGATTATGATGATTTGATATTTTTCCCAAGCAATATACATGCAATATGCCACTGACCCTTTGCACATCATATAATGCAATATAATACCCGCTAATCAATAACATCTCAGAAATGATACTGCTGTTAATCTATTGGGTTTGCTTTATTTTTTTCCCCTAACTGTGGTATTGTTCATATGAATCTGAATTAATTGTCTGGGAATTATATGTCGTCAAGGCATCAAGACATTGCCATGGCCCCCCCTCTCTCTCAAAGAATGAGAGCAGACCCTTCTGAAAAAGATGCATCAGAATCAGACTGACCCTCTGTGAGATATTTGTCCATTGCCATGGCAGGCCCGTCCGACCTCCTCAATGTCTGTCTCCCTCTCTTCCAAAGAATAAAAATCAGACCATCTAAAGACCACAAATCAGTATCAGACCATCTCCTCTTTGCAAGATCTTCATCAACGACATTGGGTAGCTTGCCACCACCAAATCCTCACCGTCTTCAAACGGTTGTTGTGGTGATGATGTTTGCCAGTGGTGGTGTCAGCGGTAGAGAGAAGGACAATGAAGTGTTGGAGACCCATACCACCCACCTTTGTATATGAAGAGGTTTAAAAAATGAAAGAAGTTTGCTGCTGGTTTGAAAAATGGAAGAAGTTACCTACCAGCTACGCAAGTTTAAGAAAATGGAAGAAGTTTACGACTAAGAAGGGCATTACATTCTTTGACTTGCGTTCATTTTGGAGGGAAATAATTATTTGTCATGCCCATATGCTATTTTGATTTGTGTCACACGTGCTGCGTATTGCATATACAAATGTAGCAGTAACAGATTGGTCCAATGTCCCAAGGGGGTTATATGGTTATTTCTGGAACTATAGGGGGTGAATTGCTACTGGGCCAAACCACATGAGAATAAAATTGATTTAACTCCAGATAAATAAAGTTGTATGTATAGGGTTTGTTTTCCGTTTATTAGTTGCACCTTCATTTCTAAACAAGACAGTTGTTGGTCGGTTCAGTTATTCATAGACCAAGGTTGAACCAAAATACCTTGAGAACAAAACCAAACCCGACCCTCAGGGAATGGGTTGGTTTTATTTCTGGGTTGCACAACAAATGTTGCACCATTAATCCAACTCTGTTGGTCGGTTCAATTCTATGAATGTTGGGTGGAAATTTAGAGCTACTCTTTGAGGTTTCTTGTAGTAGGAAAGGCTAATAGCTCATTTGTAAGGGGAACAACAACTCCTAATGGTTAGTTGTGAAGGGAGACAGCTATACTGTTGGTCTGGATGGAGGTGCAGGAAGGTTTCCTGAGATTCAGTGGAAGGGTTTAACCAGCCCGGCCTGTTGAGTGCTTCTTGTTGAGCTAGTTAAAAGAAATAAGTTGTGCCTTCACCAATAGCTATTACTTTTGGTGTGCAATGGTAAGCGTTTCGATCCAACAATTGGTATCCGAGCAAGGTCACGTGTTCGAGTCTTAAGGGAGCTGCTGGGAGGAAGATTGTTGGCCTGCATAGAGGTGCAACAAGTCTTCCCGAGACTCGGTGGAAGGGTTTAACCACCCTGACCCATAGGTTCTTCTTGTTGAGATAGTTAAAAATAAGAAGTTGCACCTTCACTAACAGATATAGCTTTTGGTATAATAGTACACGCTTTGGTCTAATAAATACCTAAAGCAGATTGATAGCATATACCCGTTCATCTAAGGATCAGGATATTTTTAGTGCATAACAGATTTTGCTGTACCAAGGCTTTTGGAACAGGCCATGGAAAAAGAACATGTCTCATCTGCCTTGACGTCTAAGTAGTAGAAGTGTACTTATAAGTTTGATTTTCAGTGGTTGAATGCTGATGGACCTGCGACAGAGGCATTAAGCGAGGTAGCTGCAGGAATTTTATGGTATCAGAAAGTGGGATAACTTCAAGGGACATAGAAACTATTTAAGCAGTTGGTCATGTAATTTTTGGGATAGTTTGTGGCTATAAAGGAAGTGGAAAACTTCAAGTATTAGGATATCAGTGCATAAAAGGCTGGAGAAAGGATATCATTCCATATTACTGGTGCTTCTTGTTACTTACAAAAAAACAATTACTGTGGGACACCAAAAAATTGCATCTGGCATATATTGTGGGATTGGGACTATACATTGTGATGATTATGAGCCATGATGTCCAAATGATATATTTTTATTTTCAACGTCACTTGCTTTGTGAGGTTGTTGGGCAGATAGATACTAATTAGAGATAAAAGTTGGACAGAGTGATCAAATGTTCCCATGAACTGATTATTTTGATGCAAGCTAAGCCCTTTTGGAACGGACTTTTATTGGCTACAAATTAAGCATAAAACACCTGATGTTTGAAGCAGTTGAGGGTGGATGAACTTTATGAAATTGAAGGCCTTTTCCACTGATTCACTCACGAACACATTTTTTGGCGTCAATTTCATTTGATATATTGGAACTCTAAATGAAAACATTTTATGAATGATTAATTGCAATTTAAACTTGTAGGGAGGCTCAATAACTACATGGAAAGTGGGTAAATAGGCAAAAAAAATATATTTTCTGTTCAAATAAGTCTCGTATAATTTGCTAATTTCAGCATCCAACTTCAAGTGCATAATTAGATTGCATATCTCGATTTGCAGAATACCTGAGAGCAGCCTATACGTGCAAATAATGCCAAGTTGCTACCAATCTATTGCCCCAAAACACTGCATGCCTGAACTTCCAGGTAATAACATTTTGACTTGGGGATTGGATATGAACAGAGATCATCCGTTTACATATCCCTGGGGGAAGAACTCCATCTCTGGAAAGTTGATTATGTAATTTAAAGCCGAGGACACTCAAGACACCGTTGTGGTATGGGGCTGCCATTAGTGAAAGCATCAGGGCTGAATTGGGTTCTCCATGTTTTGTATTTGCAAAATAAGGGAATGGACCGTTTTTTGCTTGAAAAGTAAAGCAACCCCATGCCAACTTGTATCTTTCATCCCCTAGATACATCAGGAGTTTGATCTGACGTGACTAACCAAGGAAATTACAGCAACACAATGCTAAAGAATTTTTAGCTGAATCTGGGAAGGGTGCTGGCAGCAGAAGCTGTGATGTTTTCCTTTCATGGTGATTTTGGCGCTACAGATATTGCATAGAGGTAAAGAATAGGAGATCTAAGTATTAAACGCCTGTTCTATTATTACTTAGACAGAACAAGTACATTAGGCGGGATAATGAAAGTGCTTGTTTGCTTTGTAAATTATTTGGCCAGAAATATGAGTGGAAGGTTTTATTTGTTTGTTCAAGTGTCTACATATATCGGTCGTTCATGACGAATAAAAGTTTAGTTTCTTCCATTTACTTGCTTTGCAATCTAGCTTCAATAGCTAAGGTTATCAGTCAAATATTGGAATCATGAATGAAAAGACATAAACAAAAAACCCATCAAGAGAAAACTGGTGGGGAAGGTCCGTATGTATAATACAATTAAATTTTGACACACTTTCTTTCTGTCAAACAATTTTACTTTGAGGATCACTATCAATTCATTTAGATTGTGATTCCTTTCAAATCGAAGACAAAATGACGGAAAAAACTCTCTATCGAGGCAAAGCAAAAATATACTTAAACCTCTTCTTGTTCAATTTTCAACGCACTCTCGTCCTGTTGAACATTTTGGCTTTAGTTACCAACCAGTTTTGGCATGATCGCCTAGGGCATCCCTCTAATCAAGTGTGCTTCAACAACTTCTATATTCTTCTAGTTTACCTTTATACAGGCACAATGTTCTAACAAACTGTCTATGTGAGCATTGCTTGTATGGATACCTTAATTTCCCTATTTCAAATTCCATTTCAATGTTTCCATTACAGCTTGTGCATAGCAATGTATAGGGAGGGACCTTCTCCACAAATTTCTCTTAATTGGTTTCTCTTTTATTCATTATTCAAAGGGTTTAAGCAGTTGAGGCTCCAAGAACTCTTCCGACGTGATCACAACAAGCCACTTTTAACAACCGCCGTTGCCGCTGGAAGTCTAGTAGAGAAGGCGTTAGAGGCTGCTGTTTTCTGGTCACTAAAACTCTCCTTGAAATTTGGGTTCAGGTTGAGGGTGGTTCAAAGTTTTGTCCAATTCACCCGAGTTACACCCCTATACAAAATAACAAGAAACAAATGTCAAGTGCAACACTAGCTGCAAGGCAGTACTTAGCGAAGTACAAGCACCAGTGTTTGATTTTCTTGTTTTTTTCCTTCTCTATGTTGAACACAGAAAAACAGAGGCATCTCTTAGCATTGGAATGATGCAAAGTTCCGTACATATTCTTCACTCTTCGTGGACACTATGGATCGTGAAGCTATATAGTCGGTTGCATGCGATTCTTTCAGATCTTCTTGATAGCCATTGGTCTGAAAATTAGTTTGGCAAATAAGGCGGAGAACGAGGACAGTTGTTTAGGTATTTTGAGTAATGAATTCGAGAGGGGTGTGACTAGCGCGGGTCAACTAAAATCAATCCAATTCCAATTCAACATGTTTTGCACTTGGGTAAAAAATAATAACCCAAATTAAAAATCAGACGCTACTTGTGTGCTTAGTCAAATAAAGCAGTAGAATTCGTTATCACTTGTCTGACACTGCTCTTTTATTATGATGTTTAACTTTTCTATTACAGCATCGTCATGATTCCGCCGTTCAAAGATGAAAATAGAGTATACTCTTCATTCTCTCCTGCCTAAACCCTTTGAATAATGCATAGAGCATAAGAAAGATGATTTAATATTCTCCGAATTTTACTTTTTGAGAGATCAAGAATACATTAAGAAATGATGTAGATTCCTTTTGCCCTAGGGGAAAAAAAGTCAAGATAAGGTAGGCCAGCATACCCTGTAAAGAATCTTTACTTGCTTGTGATCAAGAGAAGAAGAAGAAGAAGAAGAAGCTGGAGAAAGAGGAGGAAGAGGAAGAGGGGGAGACATTAGTAATTTATTATACGAGATTTCTGTTACTGTCGAACAAAAAGGATCATTTGCACTTATGAAGGAGATTATCTTTGTAACCCAAACTCTCGATGTACACAAAGATAGAACAACCTTGCTAGTTCGTCAAAGGCGACAAATCATGAAGAAGACGACATAAATGATATTAGTTACTTAAAAGTGAACATTACATCTAAAATGAGCTCCAAAGATAAAAGATCAAAATGATGCAAAAATACACCATTTTTCTTATACTTTTTTTTTTTTTTTTTAAGGAGAGACCGGTAAAAATCGAACCTGCGACTTAATGGTTCAACAGGAGATTACGGTGACCATTTTTCTCATACTTGTTGCAAGTTGTAACCCTCAAACCATTAAGCCATTCTGCTGAAAGATCGTTGATGGGACGACAAAGCGAGCGGAAAACGAGCGGGAGAGATCATCAGGATCAGCCCAAGTCAAGCCTTGATCGAAGTTTTGTGCGTAAGTGTATGGATCATAGGAGGAATATCGAACTGTACTTGAACGAACGTAAATTCTCTTCTTTTCCTTCTTTAGCTTCCTCCACAGGTGCTTCCAAATGGGTGCTTTCGATACAGCCACCGCCGACAAGTTAAACGGCAGAAATCGATTGTAGTCTCTATCTGAGTGGTTTCCACCGCCTGATTTGAACCATTTTTTTATATCCATGGCAGTGGAAAACTAGTGTTTGTGCTTGCAGATCCAAGAACTTGTAGTTAGTATTCTATGGAGAAGAGTCTAAATGCACCCTCTTCTTGGTCCTTCCACCTTGCCCCGAAGAAATCAATAATACTTTGTCATTCAGCAGCTTGGTCAGAATCGTGTAGGGGGTGCAACCTGGGTAGGTTGCGCGAGCTGAAAAGTTAGTACGAACTAATTTCGAGTTTTAAACACTCAATCCAAGGGCCAACCACAATCGGAATATTTTAAGGTAAATATTATTTGAATTTAATTTGAAAATCTAATTTAGGGACTTAATGATGTATAATCGTTGAATTGGTTGTTACCTCTATCTAACATTAGAACTCAAAATTAATCTAATAATTGTATTGAAGTCACATTATTATGTCCGTATAGTATTGCTCATATTTTAATGTACGTTTGATAAGATATTTCATCCGTTCCTAAATATCTATCGTTTTACACAATTTTTTTTACTCCACAATATCTATCGTTTAATGAAACCAAAATATAATTAATATTTTTTCTTCTAAATTTACCTTTATCTATGTTTTCCAATAAATGCTTAATAGATTAAATGTAGACTAAGTGTCTTTCATATTCTTCCTTTCCAATACGTATTCAATAAGGGTATTTTAATTTTGTGCAATTATTTTTTACTCATATTACAACTATTTAATAACTTCCTTAATCCCTATGTAAAAACCTTAAACGACAGATATTTAGGAACGGATGATGTATTTGATAGTCATTTATGCTCCGTTTGATACGATGAAAAATTGGGAGGATGAAAAGTTTGAAGGATGAAAAGTTTGAGGGATAAAAAAAACATTATGTTTGGTAAAGAAGGAAAGTAGGAAGGATGGAAAAGTGGATGAATTAACTTTCATTCCAACTCATCAAAATCAATCCTTCCAAAATCGAAAGGAAAGTGGATGAAAAGTTAATTATTTGTGTTGAGATGTATCTTATGTATACATTAATTTCATATAAAAATACAATGGTAAAATATGTATATATATTTTAAAAATTTTAAATATAAAAAATTAAAAATTAAAAAAGTAAAAATTTTAAATTTAAAAAAAATATTTTTTCTATCTTAACTAAGGGTAAAAATTTTAAACTCAACATAATGACACGACTCAAACTCGATACGAAAATAAACAGGTCAATTCGCAACTCAACACAACACAATTAGTTAAATAAGTTAAGTTAGGTTTGACTAATATTCGACACAAACTCGTAATGACTTAACACAAATCTGACAATTAGTTAAATAAGTTAAATTTATTTTTTGTTGTTAAGGAGGATTGAAACCTGGATCTCATTAAATCTCATTTTGAAGCTCCACGTGTGTTTTTTTGTTGAATGTTTTCAAAAACATCATTTTTGATGTTTCTATATTTTAGTTTTATTTTCAAAATGGAGCAATTAAAAAAAACAAAAATATTCACCAAATACCTTTTTGTTTTTGTTTTTTGTTTTTGATATAAAAATGAAAAAAAAAAACACAAAAACACGAAGTTATCAATGGACTCCTAAGAGTATTGGCCATGTTTAAAATTTTAAACTTGGTTTATACTTAAATTTCACAACTCAGGCTAAAATTCGTATTCAACCTAGCAATCATGCCAAAGCTGATTAGTAACTCTAGTGCCAAAATGTGCAGTTTTTTGGACATTGAACACGAAGAGGTATGAGTACATTTCTTCTCTAGCCAGTAGAGAGAGTTTCCCCTTTGATTTTGTCTTGGATTTGAAAGGAATCATAATCTACAATGAATTGACAATGGTTATCAATAGTTTTGACAGAAAGAAGGTTGGTCACAATGGATGGAACTCTAAAAAGAGTTTGAAGAATAGAATACAAACAGTTGCTTGTGCCCAAATACTCTTGTTGATCAATTGCAAATGGGCACATTGTACCATCGCATCAATTAAGGTTGTCTATATGACGTATCATGTCTTGTCCTGTCCGTGTCGTATTAAAATATATTTAATTCATGTCTAACTTAAGAAGACCATAATTTTATAGGGTAAAGGGTAGATCAATCCCATCAAAATATGATATAATATATTCCGATGCTTGTATTGCGCCTCTTTTCGGGGCTGTGAGCCCTATGTACCATGTGGTCCGCAACTGAACTGCACATGCCATGTGACACAGCTTGGTCCTTATACAATTCCATAAGCCCCACTAGAACCCTTGTAGAGATTAGTTAGTAGCAATCCGATTAATAAGTATGCAATGACAGGAAGGTAATAGCAGCTTGCCTGACAGACTTAAGCTTCCTGTCACCCCAACAACCAAAACACCTAATCTCAAACAACAAAAAATTTTCAAAATACATTTTATAACCAAAAATCCAATGCGATGTCTGCATTACTAATGCGTGTAGTCGAATAGAATTGGCGCACATCAGGACAATCAAAATATCTCTTGTGTGACTATAATATGGGTGTCTTTTACGAGTTTTTTAATTATAACTTATTTTGAGTAGTCGGGAATATATAGAAATTAGTTAAATTACGGTTTCTCAATAGCACATGCTTTATGTCTACTTTTATGAACAAATCGGATGGTAATGGACCAATTACTTAGGATTCTGACATTCAATCTAGAATTTTATATGTACATAGTCTAATAAAGCAGTAGAATTCGTGTTATCACTGGCCTAAGTCTAACACCCCTATTGTATTATAAATTTTACCTAGTCTATTACGACATCATCATGATTCCGCCGCTCAAAGATGAAAACTGGGAATTCTTTCTCATTATCTGTTGCCTAAACGGAACCTTTGAATATTGTATATAATATGAGGAAGATGATTCAATATTCTCCACTTGAGATAGAGTTATATTCTACTATTCAGAGATCAAGAACACGTTCAAAAATGATGTAGATTCCTTTTGCCGTCTACTAATTGCCCAAACTCCAACAACATCAACAGAAAAACGTCAAGAAAAGGTGGGCCAGCAAACACTGTAGAGTCTAGGGTAGAAGAATCATCGTAGTCAAGGGCCAGGGTGGCCACCCCCCCCCCCCCCTCTTTCTCAAAATTATTTATTTATTTATTAATTAACTATATATATTATATATTTGTATAATATATTATTTATGCCCACCTAAAATCTAAGATAAAAATATTAGGCTTATATTATTTACTCAAAAAATTAATTAAAAAAATTAAACCCGTTTAAAATAAAAAAAATTTGAGCTCACCACTATCTACCAAAGCTTATTAAAAAATTAAATCTTTGACCTATCACAATCCACCCAAACCTATTAAAAAAATAAAACTTTTGTCCCACCATTAAAAAACAAAATTTTTGGTCCATTTGACAGACATTAGTAATACCTATCTTATTAGTTATCTTTTTTTTTTCCTCTCTGTCTCACTCACTCCTAGTTGCCCAACCAGAAAAAACAGAGTAAAGCTCTTTCCTCGATTACTTGAATTTTTTTTGTTGTTCCTTGCACAGTTTATGAGTTTAGTAGAGAGTATGACCGGAGCCAACATATGCCCAGGGGGGCACATGTCCACCCTCAATTTTTTTTTCTTAACGTTACATATATGTATTTCAAGTATTTTTTTTAATATTTTTAATTATGCTCACTCAATTTTTTTGGTACATCAATTAGTGTACACTTATATCAAATAAATATGAATTTTTTTGACACATTTTGGACATGTTGTGACAACCTGTATATAAATTAATTATTGACACGCTAATTAGGTCGTCAATTATGATTTTATATAATTAAATATTATTTTAAAAAATAAAAAATAAAAAACAATTTTTTAATGAATAAATGGACCTCAAATATAAACTCTTTGCGTGAAAATAAGTCAAATAACTATAATTTAGGTCAAGTTTCGTAACAATATAATGAATATGTATGTGTGACTCTATATATATATATATATAAGGTGTTAAGAGTTGAGCAAATGGAAAACGTGCAAGAGATAGGAAAAAAAAACAGAGGAAGAGAACATGGACAAGTGTCCATGTGATGCTTAGAGACCAAGTAAGACTTGGTTATAAATAGCCAAGTCCCAGCTATTTGAACGCCACAGCACAAAAGGAAAAAGAAAGAGAGAGAGAGATAGATGGAATAGAACAAAAAAATTTATGAAATTTTGGGGTCAAAAATTGAGCCGTAATTTTATTTTAGATTGTTATCAAATTTGACTATTTGATTCAGGATATTTCGAATTTCGCATCTATTGAAGTCATTGATGGATTTGAGGTACGGGGTAATATACAATATGCTTATATATTTTAAATCTCTTTGCAAAGTGTGTCCTTTCATTATTTGAAATTTTGTATTCCTATTGATTATTTTGATTTATATGAAATTCTGTCAATATTATCGGTTGATCTGTACGTGTACGTTGAGCTAAATACTTTGGGATTGATTGATACATGTACGAAGTGTACTTGGGGGCATAATTAGTGAAATGTGATTATGGTCATGTGTGGTGTAATTGTGATTACAGTCCTGAGAAGTGCAGTGGTTCGATATGAGTATGAATTTTAAATGCTCATATGTCACTTGTCATGTCATTAAGAGGACCCGAGTATGAGGTTTGGTTTGATAGATATTGAGTTATGTGACTTATAGAATTGGATTCTTGATTCTTTTATCTATGATTGTCTATTGATTGAATTATTTGATATTTAATTATTCATATTCTTTTCTTATTGAGCATATCGTTTTCTGTCATATTGTATACTTTCTCGCCTTTAATATTTTTCAGGATTATCTCGAAAGAAAGGACCAGAATTGATATTTGAAGAATCGAAGCCAGACGAATCTTGATATAATTTTTAACTTTGTGGGTTTATTGGGGTGTTATATAATTTGAATAAATTCGTTTTTATATTGAGGAGATTATTTTATTAGTATTTGGAGATCAAGATTGTGATTATAAATTTATTGAGACAATTAGAGCTCTGACCCTATACTTGGATATTTATTTATGATTTATTATCAATCAATTGATTTAATTAAGTAACGAGTCCAAAAAACCGACGCGTTACACATGTTATGTATATAAAGACCAAAGTGATAAAATGATGGTGTATATAAAAATAATAAAGTTGTTATGCAACGGTTTCACAGTATGAAAATTCACTGGAGTGAATTCTAAATAATTTTAATTAGCCTATAATTTGTAAAAAAAAAAAATTTGGTGTCATTTGTATATACTAAGCTTACCAAATTTTGGTATGTTGGGTTTAATGAATTTTTAAGTATTAAATAAGATGTAATTAAATATAAATTATTGTCCGATTTCTATTTATCGTAAAAAAAAAATTAATTTGTTGAAATATTTGTGTCAATCATGACATGACTTTCTGGCTCCGCCCTGCTTCTCAGCATATGCATCTGGCCTTTTCTAGTTCGACATTGACAAAAATCTGGTGCACTAGATTACTGATGTCTCCCTCCCCCTCCTTCTCATCCTCCTCGTCCTCCTATTACTGCTTCTACTATTACAGACAATGGTGGAGGGAGGCTAGGGCCAGGACGGGCACGTGCCCACCCCTCAAATTTATTTATTTTTATTAGTTAAGTATATATATTAATTAGTAACATGATGCAACTACACCCTTTTGCTCATACGTACTTCTTATGACCCTCAAATCGTTCAGCCATTCTGCTGGAAGATCCTAGACGGAACTGAGAAGCGAGCGGAAAACGATCGGGAGAGATCATCAGAATCAGCCCACTTCAAGCCCTGATCAAAGTTTAGTGCGTAAGTATATGGATCATAAGTGAAATATTGCACTGAACTTGAACGATCGAAAAATCTCTTCTTTTCCTTCTTTAACTTCCTCCACAAGAGTCTCCAAATGGGTGCTTTCGATACAGTCCCCGGCGGCAAGTTAAACTGCAGAAATCGGTCGTAGTCACACTCCGAGTGGTTTCCACTGCCTGATTTGAACCATTTTTCAACGTCCATGGCAGTGGAAAACCAGTGTTTTTGCTTGCAGATCTAAGAACTTGTAGTTAGTCTTCTATGGCCAAGAGTCTAAATGCATCCACCTCCACTAGCTATATATAATACGAATACAATCCTCTCTCTCCCTACACACACACATGTAGAGTCAGAGTGTTGAACACGTGAGTGAAATGGTCCAATGGGGATGGATCACGTGATATGTTGAGGGGGTAAACTTGTCATTTGCTACCACGTAGATTATTTCATGCATCGTAATGGGCTGTGGTCTTGAACTGAAAAGAGAAGATAAGAGGAGAAGAAAGAGAGAGAAGAGTGTGTAAGTGGTGACCGGAGTTGCATGGTTTGGTTGTTCTAGTACTTTACAAAAGATCGAGAGTTGTATTCATTTGATATTTGTGTTTTGTCAACGGGATCTAGTACTATGAATATCTAATTTGCAGGCATTGAATGTCAACACTACACAAATACATACATAGACTCGCAGACACACAGACACCAACATCGCAGACACAGACACCACCACCCCAAAGGACAGAATGTTGAGGATAAAAAAGTAACCAATTCCTCTGTCTCTCTCAACCCTTTAATATTTGATCTTTGACCGACAAAAAAAGGCTTCACTAATTCATCAGCACATCTCCCTTGGGCTAATAATCGAGCTGACTCAAGCCTGTCGAGCTTGTTTTTATAAACGAGCCTAAAAATTTGTTCAAAATTGAGTCGTTTAAAAAATAAGCGAAGCTCGAGTCGCTTGACTATTTTATATATAAACAAACCAAACTTTATGAACTCTAGTCAAGCCTTTTAGACTTATTTTTTAGAAAAATCTAAAAAATTATTCAAGTTCGACTCATTTAAAACAAAAATCGAGCTCGAATTGAGTCCTATCAGAATCAAACCTGAATAACTCGGCTCATCCGCCCTAATCTCACTCAAAAGTAATAAACGACCCTAATAGATCTAGATATTGTATTTGAATGCAGGAATATACACATGTCAACAACGGTTAGGAACCAATACAAGGAGTAAGTGTATTTACCTGCCATGCCAGGGATTAGCATTATGGTGTGATGCCATTGATCTCTTATAAGGAAAAAATATACCTGTCATAAATTACATTGACCTAATATTTTCCCACTGCCATGATCTGATGACATATTTACATAAGCAGTATAACGAGTTCCAGATTCACACACCCACGTAAATCTATATAAAAGGTACATAGGTCCCGATGCAAGCTTCACCCCTCTAGCGCAGCTCCTTCGCCCATGTATTGAAACATTCATCACTGACCAGAAAAACTTCAGAATTAGTGAAGAGATAAGCTTCTAGTTCATGTTTCCAACAAAAAAATTTCTTACAATTTATACATCCATTCACAAGGATCAAGTATTTGGCTAATCCATCAACCATGGCTCATTGTTGTGTTTATAGAATAAGATAGAAGAATCCGACCCATGGATTGCTTCAAGTGATGATCCATGGGCAATGAGCACGTTTAGAAAAAAAAAAAAGAGCAACTAGAAGTTTTCACAAGCTGCAGTTGGTGACCAAAGACCATCCACTGGATATTCATGGTTAAACAATTTATGTAGATGGGCAATGATCTCTAAGCTAGGAAATTTAGCTAAGAAATAAATTTCCTTTACTCAATATGCTCAGGAAGACATCGGTTTTGTTAATGGGATCTAAGGAAATCAGCCCCACTAACAACAAAACATAATAGAAATGACACCTTACCTCAGGGTAACAGTTTTGACGGACAACTGTTTGGTTGTCTGTATTTACTTCGACTTCGCATGACACTTTTGCCTGTCAAAAATTATTATTATTTTTTGATCAGCTGTCAAAAATTATTTACTAACATCATTTGCAAGGATAAAAGAAAACGAACGGCAAATTGGAAAGATACGGAAAACGGAATAGGTTAGAGAATCAACAAGTATGATAACGTTAGTTCCTTTGGAGTGGCCAACAGAAGTTCGATATCAACAATGTCTCCAAATAGGGCTATCATGATTTGATACGCCGTCCCAACAAGACTGTAATGTGGAGTAATTCCTAAACTCTCATTAACAAACACTAATAGGCAATCCATCTTAAAAAGCCACGCAGTTCCATAATCAGCAAAAATACTAGAGCGTGTACGAATCCAAGACACAACTCAAAAAACTGCCAGAAGTAATTAATGATAATAATTGAAAAACAATACCATGCAAAAATTGATGACATTGTAAACTAAGATCATCAGACAAGAGTCCTCTGATATTGAAACACTTGATAAGAAAATCCAAGTGCTGCCTAGTATCAATGCACAGAAGAATGTTACAAAGTAGGACCTATTAAGCTGATTCCAATCCATTTTAATACTGCTATTACACCAGGAAACTTATCCAAGGAAGTTGGTTACCGAATTTTTCACAACCTCTACATGTGAAACTTCCCCTAAAAGCCCGACTTAGCTGGAGATGAAAGAGTAAATTTCTAGGAAGTTAGCTATAGGCTATAGCACTTGAGAATACAAGGTCTCAGAAGTTTTTTGAACCTGTTCAATTAGGAGCAACTTTTGCTGATAAATGTATTGGTGGTGTGTAATTTAATTTAACTTTACAAAGATAAAGGCCAAAAGGAAGGTGGGTCAACATAGCAGTAAAAAACATGAAAAGGTATTAAAGATTTTGAGGCAGACTCATGTGAACAAAAATAAAAGATTTCGGCACCATTGAGAATTCTTTAAATAATTAGTTGCTATTTCAGTGGTTGAAGTGCCGGTCAGCATTGCCTAAGTAACATCCGGCTTTTTTTGCACGCTTCTCTCCATCTGTTGAGTCGGTGAAAGGCTACTTGACCTACCCTTCAAAGAAGAATCAAGTCAGAGAAGCCAGTGCACAAGATGACCACTTCCGTTTATTTCCCTTGACCTTTGTGACTTTGTCAAAAGTGATATCCTCTTTCCTAAGGATCATTGCTGTTCTTAAACTTCTAACCTTTTCTTGTCCGTGCAATTTCTTCAACATCAATCACATTGTTTGCTCCCTCTTACAAATGCATTTCATTAGTATAGATACCATAATGGCCTCTATCTTATAATCAATTGGAGCCACCTCTAACTCCAATCAACACATCCATTTTTTCCTCAACATGATCATTACATTGATTACCACCATTCCCCACATTAAAATTGCTCTTCACACATTTGTTCATCAATAAATGTCAAATACAGATGTTTTTGATAGGGTGTTGAAACAAGGTTCTTTTTCTTATGTCAAAATTAAGGATTGACATGTACACTTGAGACTTATATTGGGAAGAATGTTCTGAGACATTATAAACATTAAGCACTGATCCCCCTTTCTATTGGACAATCGTTTTGCAACCCTAGTCACACCAACAAAGCATATTAAGCCCCACGGCATAACAAATTCTGGCCTATGGTACAGTTCACACACAACTCCAAAGGCAATTCACCACCACCCCAATCTTCATCCACCCAACTTAAACATTCTGAGCCACTATTAACTTAAATCTGTGACTCCTTGCTTCCTGTTAGTCATCGATTTTTATTATCACTCCAGTTTATTAGTGGATCCAGTAAAAACTCATTTCAGTAATACATATGCTTGAAAAAAAAATGAACCTTAACAGTAATATAACAGCAGAAAATACATATGAGAATTAGCAACAATTTCATCAACCCAGATTTTGTGAGCAACACTAGACGAACATTGTACAAAAATCTCAAGAAAAAAAATTGTGGGTGTGTTTGTATTTCATAACCAACATAGCATCATAAAGCTAATAATTTAGAAAAAAAAAAACTCACCTCAATAGGAATTTCAAAGAAGAACAATCCTATCCGCCCCCGGATCATGGAAACCGTATCAAACGGAATCACACCTTTAACTAAATCTTCCAGCAAAAGAATCGCATCAGAAAGAACCTCAACGCCGTCAAGCACAAGAGTAGCGTTGATATACGACGATGCTCTTGCTCTGACATGGCCATGAGCAGACGTCGCGACCCCTAGCTGTTTTCCCCTGTACCCAATGCCAACAATTACAGATTCGTAATCAATAGAATAAAAGTCTCTGTTCCGAATTTTCACGACGAGGTCTAGTGTTATGTCCAGAGAAGGAGAAGGGAGGACTCGGATTTTGAGGCGGTCGAGGCTGAGGCGGACGATGGATAGCTCCGGGTCGGAGGGCCAGAGGAGGTAAACAGCAGCGGCGGCGATGAGGAGAGAGGTGGTCCAGAGGAGGATACGACGCCATAGGCGGCGACGACTACGGGTGGAAGGATGGTGGGGCAATATGATGATGTAGTTCTGGGGTTGGTCTTCTGGAGGGAGAGGGTGGTAGTAGATGGGTGGTGGGTCGGTGGGTGTTTGTTTTGGGGAGGCCATGGTGGGTGGCGCGTGAATGTCCGAAGAGATAGGGCCGTGTATTGGGCCTGATTGGTTATATATTATATGTGGGTGTAAAGAAGTCGGAGCGTGGTGGGTTATTACTTGATATATGAGCAAAGTTCTTAAAATTTAATTTATTGATATAATTTGTTGATTTAATTCATTGTAAGTTTTTGGATTTATTATAGGCTCTATTAAACATTAGAACTTAGTATTGATCCAACAATTTCTATGAAGCCACATCATTATGTCAACAAATTAAATTAAATTTTTAGGTGCAAATAGTATTACTCTTAAAATATTAAAAAATTGTAAGTAAATTTTTTTTTTTTTTTGTGAGAAAAGATCTTGAAAAAAATTTGTTCTAAATAACTACTATTAAGTTGAAATGTTCTCTATATAATGACAACTTTTTGTTTTTTTTACTATAATACAATTTTTCTATTTTTATAATGATTATATTTTTGATAGTTTCTTTTTAGAATTAATTACAAAATATCCCCTTCAAATTTGGATTATGTTTCAATCAACTCCTCGTTGTTTTAATTTTGACAATTTACCCCCTTCAAGTTTCTTTTAATTTAAATTAATCGAGAGAGTGGTTGAAAATCTTAAAATTCCTAAAATATCTCAGCATCTAATTTTATTTTTTCTCTTTTCTTTGTACCCAATCCCTTTCTCCATGATGATGCCTCTAAGCCCTTTCTCGTACTTTGACGGTGTCCCTCAACCCTCACATCTTGCTCCAACAACCCCCCAATCCCCACCTCTTGTTCTGGCAGCCCTCTAACCTCCAACCATTGTTTCGTTTGTGCCTCTGAACCCCTACCCCTACCACTACTCCATCAGTCCCACCCCTGTACCCAATGCCGACAACACTCCAAAACCCAAAACTCACCTCTGACAGCCTATACCATACCAACACCATAAATCTCTCAACCTCACCCCACCTCCAACTGTCTTTCATTGCCCCATCATCAAACAAGAAAATTCAACACTATGATAAGCGTGGGTCTGGCACAGCTATCACCATCTTTCCTTTTTCTTATTTCTTTCTTCTGCTCTGACCAGTCAATATGATAAGTATGGTTTCACATTTCCTTCTGCTCTGACCAATTAACCTTGGTGCATCTGTAAAGAATTTGTTCTCTCTCTCTCTCTTCAGATGGGTGTTGCCTTGTAGAGGATAGATTGGGGGTTAGGCTGTTTTGGGGCTACATTGTTGGGAATGGGGGTGGATCTCGGTTTCGAGGTGGGTTTTGGTTTTCACTAGGTATTGGTGGGTTTCAGTTTTCACTAAAGAGGGAGGGAGTTAGGTAGTCAACCATGACACATCTACTTTGAGAGATATGTGGTTAGGGTTGGGTTTAACTGGAGGAGCTCACCGGGAATTCACCAGATTTTACTTGTGGAGAGTTGGTTTGTTTCTTTTTTCAAATAGAAGGGTATATATGTCTTTTAATGGTGTTAATGTTGATTTTTGTCAATTTATACAGTCAAGGATAACGACAATGGAGTGAATGAGATATGTTACAGCTTGAAGGGGGCAAATTGTGGAAATTGAAACCACGAGGAGCTGATTGAAATATGACCCAAACTTGAAGGGACATTTTGTAATTAACCTTTCTTTTTATATGAGATTTGGTTTTATTGATAGACATTTTCCTAAGAGATTTTTTTTTTTGAATGTCTAAATTATCCATAAACGATGCAATATCTAAACAAAATTAATATCTGATTTGAAGTTGAGATCATCATCATCTGTAATGTCACATTAGTATAACTTCTTCATCCACATTTTAATCACTGACAAAAAATTGTAAAATTACATTCACTAATTCATACACAATCTAAATAGTATGCATCACATAATGTTACATCACAAATATGACATTTATATATATATATATATTACTTTTAATGAATGATAGTGTTACATCATTGTATAACAATGTAAGGTGACACTAATTTTAGCTAATTAATGGAGAGATTTTAGGCTAGATTTTACAATTAATAACGCGAAAGAGAATTCTAGATAGGGTCAATTATTTATATAGAAACGTAAGGGAGATAAATTATAATTATGTGAGAGAGATTTTAGAAAAAGGAAATTACAACTATGTGAGAGAGATTTTAGGAGAAAATAAGATGTTTAAAATTCAAATTCATTGTCCCATTAAAATAGAAAACTCTTAATTCGAACTGTGGTTTGTGCATGGTTAAAAACTGAAGGAATTTGAGAAAGTTTTGTTCAAATTTTGAAAAATCGAAGTTTGGGACCTTGATTAGTAGCCAAATTTTGTGGAGATTGTGAATGGAATTCGACGGTTTCCAAATACAGACAAAGTGTCTGTTCAATTACCTCTGTAGGTGTTTTTGGAACAATAAAAAAAAAAAGGACTTCACAAAATATTTTAATCAAATGGGCTTTTACACAAATAAGTTTTATATAGGATACCGGCCTACAAAAAATCCAAAAAATATTGGGTGTAAAGACTACACCATGTGAGTAACTGTCTAAAAATATCTACAACCATGACTCATATATAAACTCAAATTTGAGTCTAAATTTAAGTAAAAAGCTTGATTTGATATAGAGTACTTTAATGGGTAAACTCAAATATTAACTCAAATATTTTAAAAAATTCTCTTATTATCCCAAACTCATTTTTTTAATTTTTTTCACCAAAATATTTTATTCGTTCTCATCATTCTATTTCATTCCCTCCAAAATCTCTATCTCTCTCAATGTTTTCTTCCCTCCAAAATTTCTTGCCCTTATCGTTTTAACAGGATTCGCGCGAATATAGAAACTCAAGGAGCTATGCATTTAAGCTACAAAACCTAACCAAAGAACAAAAAAAGGGACATTAGAATCTAAATCTAAATTTAACTGTAAACAGAAATTTATTGATATTTTCTGATGGGACATTTTCAGACACTCCCAGATGATGACACGTGTACTTGGCGTCAATTGAGACTCTCGCTATATCGACACGTCTTCGTCGGTTCTAACCCCCTGTCCCGAGGGATGCTATTCACAGGGATCAAGGATCCCCAAACCACCATGGACCGACACATATTCCTCGGCAGTTTGGGTACATCGGTCCTAAGTCGTGTTAAGTCTCTCGGCACCGAGGGGTATCTATCCGCATGGGCGTTTCTGCACATGCAGGGGCTATTGATGGACAGATCACTAGCCTAAGCAAGGCTAGACTAGCCATCATGACCTCGTCTTACTCAATTGGTGTCAGGAGGCACAAGGAAGCAGAAGGCTCAACCAAAGAGGAATGGGCACGTGGCGTATTGTGTCAGATCAGAGACAAAAAGACCAGGATGCCCTTGCTGACACACGACTCGGAAAAACAAGTATTAAATGCACCATTCCTTTGATGAGACAATATTTAATGCATAAGAGCTCAGAAGTGAAAGGTAATAAATGTACTAAAGCCTGGACATTTATTATACCTCTGCCGAGAGAAGATCATTAAACGCTCGGCAGACCGAGGAGGAAATATTAGTTGCTCGGGATCCCGAGCAGTAAAGAATAAGATCATTACTCATAGAGATTGGTGTGCATGCTGCCCACCCCCAATGATTACCTACTAGCTACGCTGTCAGCAATGATGAATTTTTAAGGTATAAATAGTGCTCACCAACGCAGAAAAGAGGTATGCAATAAACCCTCTCTCAACCTCATACAGTGTTTTCTTATTCCCCTCTCTCAAAGTGCTGACTTAATCGTTAGAGAGGATACGCCAAAAAAATACTTCAGCGCCCTTCTAACTTGTTTTCTTTGTTTCAGGAACCTCCTTTAACCTCCCGGAATCACTCAGGCGATTCGTACAAACGATTCATTATCCACCTTCGACCCTCACAACCTGTTCCAAGTAGCAAGATCGACCATCCGATTGACGGACACGTGTTCACTACAGAAGAGATCTGTTATAGTATTTATATTGTGCAGGATCTTGCACGCACAATCTGGCGCCGTCTGTGGGAAACGACTGGTTTTCCTAGTTTCTTCTCTAGAAAGAACAGTGACCATAGTGAACACTCGACAGAAAGGGAAAGGTCCCCAGTAAAGAAGTCTTGAGTTACAAGCTCCTCGTCATGGTGGGGGGAGAGATCACGCTAATGACAATAGGAACGTTTCTATTCAGTCAAGGGGGCGTACTCCTCAAACCAGTATGGGCATTAGGTTAGGGGGATCCGCCCCCTTGGCTCGTCAACTAGCGGAGGTGATTGAGAAAAAGTTTAGGGATCGACTACGACAGTTGGAGAAAGATAATGTGAATGTCCTAAGTCGACTCAACGAATTTACCGCCTCTAGTGAAGGATCGAGGGACTCATTTCGTTCCCGCGAACGCCCCGTCCGGGAAGCGGAAATCGAGGACCTGAGGAATCATTTAAATAACAAAGCTGATAGCTCTAGGGTCTCGAAGCGCCAAAGAGCCAACGAGCACCCCCTCAACGGTCAGTCCAGGAAGGCAAGACCTTTAGCCTAGGACGACCTCCGACGAGGACTATCAAGGCGCGGGAAGGGAGATGAGTCCGAGGAAGATTCAACCCTTTCCACGCGACGCCCGGGGAAGGCGAGCCCCGTCGATGACCTTGGAAACCTCATAAGACATCCCTCTGAGGTGGAAGTTGATCTCAGAGCCCGGCTGAAATTCAAGAGAAGGGGCAAGGCTGTCCAAGATGATGCCAAAAACGAGGCCATGCAATCACCTTTTACTAGGAATATCCGAGAGATGGAGGTACCAAAGAAGTTCATCGTGCCAAGATTTAAAACTTATGATGGGCGATCCGATCCCGAAGCTCACCTCAGGCAATACAAGCAAACGATGTCCTTGTATCATTCGAACCAATGACTCATCTGTCGAGTGTTCTCAATGAGTTTGGGAGATTCCACGATGAAGTGGTTCGAGACTCTTCCTCCCAACAACATTGGGTAATGGAAGGAGTTGGCGAGACAATTTTTAGCCTGATTCATTACGGGGAACAAGCGGCCCAAAGACATTGGGTTATTATTGACGCTCAGGCGGAGGGAACAAGAAACCCTTTGCCA